AATCCCTGTAGAAACACAGGTCAGAGCTATAATCTCTGTATGAAACACAGGTCACAGCTATATTCTCAGTATGAAACACAGGTCACAGCTATAATCTGTACATAAAATATTGGTTGCAGCTATAGTCTCTGTAGAAACACAGGTCACAGCTATAATCTCTGTATGAAACACAGGCCACAGCTATAATCTGGACATAAAATATTTCTCACAACTATCGACTCTGTATGAAACTGTAGAAATATAGGTCCTAGCTGTAGTCTCTATTAAACACTGCTGTATTGGGGAGATCCTGCTGAATGCAAATTGCTTGATAAATCACAGTAGAGCTGTTATAAGAGTCACTAGGGACGGTGACGCTGCAGTCTGGGGAAGTGTAGGGAACAGACGGCCTAAAGCTCTAGGGTGCAGCAACTTGATGTGCAGAGTTGTATCCCTTTGCTGCCAGGATCTGGTCATCATAAGTTATTGGGTAACAAGTGGCAGTGCAGGTGCTGCAGTCCCTTGTGCGGAGTTGTGTCCCTTTGCTGTCAGGATCTGTTGATCTTGAATAATGGGACAGCATGTGGCAATGCAGGAGTTGCAGTCCTTGGTGCTGAGTTGTATCCCATTGCTGCCAGGATCTGTTGATCTTGAATAATGGGATAGCATGTGGCAATGCAGGAGTTGCAGTCCTTGGTGCTGAGTTGTATCCCATTGCTGCCAGGATCTGGTGATCTTGAATAATTGGATAGAATGTGGCAATGCAGGAGTTGCAGTCCTTGGTGCTGAGTTGTATCCCATTGCTGCCAGGATCTGGTGATCATGGGTTTAAACCCTAGATTCATTCTTGTTATGGTTATTGTTTATCAGCAGCATATCTGTGTCCTTTTAGTTTCACTAAATGACAGACACAGAAGATCTGGGGTAGAATAGGTCTTCAGCAACCCATGCAACCCTTAAAAGGCGACTATGGTTGTAAAAGGCATCTAACGGGATTGGGTGGTCAGGCTCGCTGACTTGGTTGATGCATGTCATCGATCCAAATTGCATGGATCAATGCTCATGATATTAATCACTGGATTGTCTGACTCGATTATTTACAGACCACCGTCATATAGCTGGAATATTGCTGAGTGTGGCGTCAACAACAAACCCAAATCAACCTTCCTCATAAAGCTGCCATACCTTGAGATAACTGGAAAGTGTTGGAAGCAGTGTTAAGCCCAACACACTCCTGAAAGTGTTGGAAGCAGTGTTAAGCCCAACACACTCCTGAAAGTGTTGGAAGCAGTGTTAAGCCCAACACACTCCTGAAAGTGTTGGAAGCAGTGTTAAGCCCAACACACTCCTGAAAGCCCTGTAGTTTAGTTGTAACTACATTGCTAAAGTGTGATGAACTGCTTTTGGTACCCCTATGGGATTCCATGCTATAATATGGGGGCGGTCGGGTAGCCTAGTGGTTAAAGTGTTTGCTCGTCACGCCGACGACCCGGGTTTGATTCCCGACATGGGTACAATGTGTGAAGTCCATTTCTGGTGTCCCCAACCGTGATATTGCAGGAATATTGTTAAAAGCGGCATAAAATCATATTCACTCACCCCATGCTATAAAAGGTTCCCTTTAACCCACACTTGCAAAAGGAAGCTTGTTGGATCAGGTGGTCAGACTCAGTGACTTGATTGATGGCATGTCATTGTACCCCAACGACATGGATCATTGCTCATGATGTCAATCACTGGTTTGTCTGTTGAATATTGCTGAGTGCTGTGTTAAACAACAAACACAACAAAAGTTATTAGAGGAGGTTAAAAGAGGTTACAAGTCATATTGTTCCACAGGTTCCAAAACGTCATCTATCAACATAATGGCCAGCGAGATATCTGTGGCAATATTTCTGTTCTTGCTGATATTTTAGAGTGCACCAGCATGATGTTCCCTCGAACCATGCATTACGATATATAGAGAAAGTTAGCCATTTTTAGCACACTTGAGCTGTAACCTTCTTTGAAACTTTGCTCTGATGTTCCATGCAATGATGTCTGTATAATGTGCTCTCAATATTACTGTTCTATTTTAAGCATTTTAAGGCATTTTGAGGTGATATGTACAATTCTTCTTGCGATGGGCATTTTGAAATGATATGTACAATTCTTCTTGCGATGGGCATTTTGAGGTGATATGTACAATTCTTCTTGCGATGGGCATTTTGAAATAATATGTACAATTCTTCTTGCTAAAGGCATTTTGAAGTGATATGTACAATTCTTTTTGTGGTAGGCATTTTGAAATGATATGTACAATTATTCTTGCTGTAGGCATTTTGAAGTAATATGGCAATACATTTGGGGCAGAAAGCTTGATAGAAGTTGATTAGGAGTGTGTTGCAAGCTTTATGGACAGAAGAGAGCTTGAAATGTGGAGCTTTTCTATATTTAACTGTGACATCATATCTTTGCATCACAATCAGCGGTGTGCCATAAAAATAGTGAAGCGTGGTGTAGAATAAAACCTTGCAAGGCTAGTATATGCTCTATAAGGGTGCCCACTTCATGTTGACATTACAAAGTTATAAGCTGTGCTGCTCATGCTCAATGCTTGAAGTATATACAAGTAAAGTAGAACCATGTACAAAGACAATGTTTGAACATATTCACTGCCATTATTTGTTTTAAAGCTGTTATAGGACCAGAGCTGTTCAAATACCAAAATTTCCTTCTTGGCCAGGCAAGTAAACTTAGAAATTGTTCTTGCCCATTTTGATTTTCAACTGGCCCTGCTATATCAGAGAAAAGAAGAAAACTTTAATTATAACAACAAAACTTTAGTAACTGAAGCTATTTGAAGATGGGCAGAACAGATAATTGACTAGTCAAGTACTTCAGTTCCAAGGGGAGTAAAAGAGGTTTGGTCTCTTAGGCACATAGGCTTCTTGAAACAAATGAGTCTTTAACAGAAGTGAATTGTCGCAGCCGATTTTATGGGGAGAGGAAGAGAGTTCAAAAGGGTTGGGGCTGCAACAGCGAAGGATCTATCTCTTGGTTTTGTTCTGGCCTCTGGAACCTTAAAACTCATCTGATCAGCTGAACATTAGAGTGCGGCTTAGCTTGTATGTTGACAGTAGGCTCTTGATGTAGTTTGGGTAGTCAGGTTCTCGAACACCACTCCTAGATTTTGTACATGATGTTGAGGCTGAATATGAGTCCTGGCGACTTCAACAAATGTAGAAACTTCAGGTGATGTTGGCGAGTACCAAGAATGATGAATTTGACAGGATTTTATTTTGTTTTGACATGATGCAGTCGCAATATTCCAAATATTAGGGCATTGTTACAGTTTGGACTATTCCATGTAGCTCTTGACCATAAGAACTGTTTCTGTCACAGATAGCATTTTGCTTTTACTTTAATCTGAAGAATGTTGTTTTCAACACCAACACCTCTTTATGACTTTTATTCAGACTTAGTATCCATGGCCAAAGATATGCTTTGTCAAATGTGTATCCGGGGGCACGGGTGGCCCAGTTGTCTAGGGCGCCGCGATTTGCTTTGCAGAGTTGCGTCCCTTGGGCACACAAGAAACCTATGATTGTGGCTTCGAATCCCGGTTCGCCCCTATTATGTTTCTAGGCTTGTCAGCACCATACCCACGCTCGTGGGTTTCACCGAAGTGGTAAACGTCTGAGACCTGCATCACTTCGGGCTTTCCTCCCACATTAAGCTGACACGCCGTGATATAACTGGAATAATGTTAAAGCGGCGTTAAACCCAACTCACTCACTAAATGTCTATCCTAAATCCAGTCCGTTGTCTAATAGCTCTGCTTCATTTAAGTCAAAATTATGGGTATGACACCAGACCCAACCCATTTTTTTTGACAAGACAAGATAATGTTGAGGGTATAAAGGTCCATGGCCCATCTTATATCTCTTGATTGACTTGCACAAGTTAATATCATGGGAATATTAGGGCTTGCTACTAAAACCCAATCGAAAGTCAAGTACATCAACATCAATGGAAGACACTGGAACGCATTTGGATACAAAACTATGAATGAGCACAACTCACTGATGCTGTCAGCTTCTGCCAATATCTAATATATACATCATAAAGACTTGAAAGAAGAAGTTGGAACTTGAACATTAGATTGAGATGATGGCTGCCATTGTTTGGTTTGCAAGGTCAAGGTCACAGGAAGGACACCAGGACCTACGATTCACAATATGAGTTGATATTTCATGCACAAGTAAACTATTATGGAACAAATATTTAAAGGGTATTCAAGAACTTTTCAGAGTTAGAACTGGAGATCAGTCAAAGGAGAATGTATACCTCTGTTCGAATTACGTGGATCAAACATGGAACAGCTTCATTTTGTGATGCAGTCTATTTGTGACTTACTGAACTGAAACCATTCATTGCAGATGTCTCACTTAAGACTGACGGATGACTGTGACTAATTTCTTTCCACAGTAACATTTACTGAAAGCCATAAAACATGGCAATGATATGTGATCCTTAACTTCTAGTGAGCAGTATAGAATGTAGTCAATGTCAATGACCACTTTTTATTGTAGATATATAGTTTGAAGGCTGTTTCTTTGCCATTTTGAATTGAGCTTTTTCTTTCTTACTCAGTATAGTATGTAGTAAATGTCAATGACCACTTTTTATTGTAGATATAGTTTGAAGGTGTTTCTTTGCCATTTTGAATTGAGCTCTTTCTTTTCTACTCAAAAATCACAGCATTTGATTTGATTCTTATCCATATGACCAAGTCTCAATAAGGAAAAATTAACATCAATTTTTGTAACTTGATACATTTTGACCTTTTCATGCTGATAGATGTATCTGTATTTGATGATGGATATATATTCAAATGCTTTTCTTTGTATATATTTAGGGCATCATCTAAGAAAAATATGATGCAGATATAATGGAATAATAATGTGAATACGAAAGCAAATGAATACCTATTTGCTTAGGTATTTGGATATTTTAAGACCTTTAATCAATTTATTTAGGCACACCTTCCCCACCTTCCACACCTTCCACACCAACTCACACAGAAGGGCCACGAAGACCTCACCCTTTGCCTCGACCAACACTGGAAGCAAGAGATGGCGGAGACAAATATGAAAATGTTGTTATTCGCGCCCCTTCAGTCAAGGGCCCCAAAAAGCCATTGCGGGCTGTTTCGGACTCCGGCCAGGCATATGAGAACCAAAAACCATCTGGTGTGTCCAAAACGACATCAGCGCCACTACCCTTGAAGCAGACTTCCCCAATGACCCTGAATAAACAGCCAAGATCACAGGCTCCGGTTGCACCCACAGCAGGACCCAGCAGTTCTGGTAACACCACCCTACCAAGAGCAGGACATAGTACTATAATTGACACTGGCACTAAAATCGCAACTAAAAAAACATTTGCACCACCACCACCTAAAAACCAAGTAAATGCTCACAAGGCAGGTGTCCTGAACTTTGGCCAAGTTGGTGGTCAGACACCAGTTCCGGTCACCTCAACCAAGAAGCCTGGTGAGGTTACAAATGGGCAGTCTGATATGTATGGTGAGGTTCTAAAGAATCCAACTACTGGTAAACTTGGGAGCTACCCGGATGTATCTCGCACGGGTCTGGAACAAGGAAAGAAGAAGAGAGGTAAGCGGCTTCAGCCATCTTTGATTGTCTTGAGGAACAATGTAAGAAGACCAACACTGACGTGTGTTGTGTCTGTTGTATCATGTGGAGAGGAGCAGGTAAAGTAGTGAGCCCATGTCAGATTCTCTTTAAGTTATACATTTTCATGGTCAATTAAACTGAAGATTTCAGATCCACTTATACCAGGCATCTCCTTGTTGAAATTGTCTAATTGGCATGACGGGTTGAGAGAATGAGTGAGGTTTCATGCTTCTTATAGCAATATTCCATTAATGTCACGGCGGAGAACACCAGAAATGGGCTTCACACGTTTCACCAATGTTGGGAATCAAACCAAGGTTCGGCATGAGTTAATGCTTAAACTACTAGGTTACCCCACCGGCCCTGATAGGGGTGAAGGCAGATTATTAAACCTTGTTTGTTGAAGCTGACATTTCATTGTGAATTTTCACAACTTGCACAGAAAGTATTTCAAAACTTTGTAACTGACACATACACAAGATATATCCAGTACACAATCATTGATTCTATTGTACACTTTTTATCAGAAATTCAAGCTTCTGAAAAACAATCTCCTTATCCAATGTCTATCTACAATCCGGATCTCTTTGGAAACACAATCCAATATACATTCTTGAGTCATAACTCTTTAGTCACGCATAACCAAATCTGTTGTCTGTCTTCTAATCAGATATATTTGGCGACATGATAATCTAAATTCAATCTCTTTCTCTTTGACAGTGCAATAATCTTATTCAGTGTTCAGTGACACAATAGCCAAGTATGCAATGTCCATCTTTGATCCAAATCTCAAAAACAGTTGAATCCAAAGTCCGTCTTTGATCCAGAACTCTTTGGCGACATGATCCAGTGTACATCTTAGAGTCACATCTCTTTGGCAACAATGTTTTTTGTTGTTTTTTTCCAATTTTTGTGAATACTTACATAAAGTTTAACTTTGTAGCTGCATGGTTTAAAATTATTCCTGTATGCTATGAAAAAAGACAGGTTGAATGATGACGTGTTCAGCATCAGTGTGTTAGTGATGGTCTGACGTGACTGTTGTCCTTGTCCTACTTTGAAGCAGGGGCACACGGGGCCAGACGCCCAAGGTGCAGCAGTTTTCTGTGCAGAGTTGTGTCCCTTGGGCACGCCAGAAACTTTATTGGTCCAATCTTGTTCGCCCCGAGGTTGTTTTAGGTTTATCAGCACTATAGCCATGCTCCTTTTGGGTTTCACCTTAGTGGTAAAAGTCTGAGACTTTTGCCTCACTTAGGGCTTTCCCCCAACATACACCTGACATGCCGTGATTTAACAGGAATAGTGTTCATATGGGTGTGAAACGTGTGAAAAACTCACTCAATGCTCCTATGAAGCCAGAACTGTAGTACTAGTGTATCCCGTGTGAAATTCGACTGGTATCCCAAGGGATCCTATATATGCGATAAGGGTGGGTAGTCCAAATCTCACTGGAATTACTTCATCCCAATGGGATAAGGTATTTGCTAGGTGGGATCCCAGTGGGATATCAAACGAAGACGGATGTTAGACTGAGATAAGTGGATAAGGGATATCATTTGGTTGCCATGGAGATGTATAACCTGTTTGCATGAGAATGTTTATTACCACAAACCTGCCATGTACTTCCAGATACCCGATACCCGATACCCAATACCCGATACCTGAAACCTAATACCCAATACCCAATTCTAACTTCATGTATCTATTATGATAAGAAAAAACTACAAGAAGTCAGATTAAACTTTTAAGCCAAGTAACTTTATCAGTGAATATTTTGTAAGATGAACCTGATGAAAGGAAATTATGTCACATATCAAATTTATTTATTTTCAAATGATAATTTGGTTGTGCCAATGTTTCAATTATTGATGTATGAGTTTAATTATCATGATGATTATGATGCAAGTTCAGGTCCATGAGGGTGTATCCCAGTGTCCTGGTTTGCTTCTGTTGTCAACTGCATGCTTTGAAATAATACAATATATATAGACAGTGCACATGCTTTTATCCAACCAGAATGTCAAGAATCACTCCTACACCGAAGTATAAACACCTGCTACTACATGTATTTGTGGGACTTTGGTTGATATATTACGTATTTACTGACTTTTCTTTTATGTCAGCCTAATGAGCATTAATTTAATTAACTCAGCAAGTACTCTTTGATTTAGCACCTGGTAAGGAAGGTCTATATTGTTTGGGGCATTCAACACCTCTCTTAACACCAAATTTTCCTTTCACATTTAGGAGATCTGATGATGAAAATTGGGTCACTGTGACCTATCATCTTTCAATCAAGTCATACACTACAGTACAGTTGATGGCTGCACAGATGCATTGATAGATGTCTTGTACACTGTCTTGTGCTCAGATCATGGAATTATCCAACTTAAAACATTGGTATCAGTTGAGTCTTTATTTGGAAAATAGGTCACCACAACCTACTTTTTCTAATAACATGAACTACTTTCTCTGATCTGGGGTGTTTTGGTTGTATTTTTAGCCAATAAATTGGTGATTTTGAGTCAAGGTGAAAGTGAGAATATTGGACTTACGTTTGTTTTCATATTTTTCTAGTTGAATAACTTTTAATCTATGGATGATTTCATGTTTTCATGAAATTTGGCTGTTGGCTGATTTTGTCTTTAAATGATGGTTGGGAGTTTTCAATGTTGCATAGATATGTAATCTTGGCTAATGATTGTAGCAAGTCATGCCAACTGAACAACATTAGCCAATATTGTAGCTAAAATGGAAAGAATTATCATTAAACTTGTCACATGTTATCAGAAATGAGCGGGCCACTTGATAATGTCTTCATATCACGCCCGTTGTTCTATGATGTTTCCATATTTGTAAAAGTGGGTCAGTAAATGTTTCAAAACCGAAATTGATGTTTATTTGATAATAAACTCTATCCATTTTAGCAATAATAACAGTAACTCTATTTTTCAGGGCATTATCATTTGCAGAAGCCCTTGGTCTTTTCAACTGCCCTCCTTCACCGGGCAGTTAATGGAAGACCTCAGGGCTTCTGCAAATGATAATGCCCTGAAAAATAGCGTTACCCATATAACAACCAGGGTGATAAATACTAAACGTAGATATGATTCTAGAGGTGTTTTACACATACATACGTGGATACATCAAAGGAAACATTATTTTTAGGGCATTATCGTTTGCAGAAGCCTGGGGTCTGCCATTAACTTCCTGACGAACAACAGGAGTTGAAAAGACCAAGGACTTCTGCAAATGATAATGCCCTGAAAAATAATGCTAGGATTATTATAGGTAAAATGAATAGAATTTGAAGCTTATCCCAAAATGAACAAAACAACAAACAACAGCAAAAGTTCAGTGGCTGTATCAAAAACCTCAAAATGGAGGTCATTGATTTACAAATAGCAACGTCATAGAACATAACATAGGATGATGTCACAAACAAGAAATATCACTCCAATGACATCACATAACACTAGAATAGATTTCAGCCCCTTGTTAGGGAAATGGGGTCTGCTATCACAGTGGCCCCCCAGATTTCTGATAACATCCAGGCATGTTTTTGATAATTCAGTCCATTTTAGATAAAAATGCAGTTAGTATCTGTCTTAATGTATGCATATATAGTACTTCTTTGACATGTACATGCACTTTGAAGCAAACTGTACATAATCACGTACATACACATTTAAATCTGTGAAGATCCGGGTCAGCAACCAAGCAGAAAAAGGTGGCTAACAGGATTGGGTGGTCAGACTCGCTGACTTGGTTGATGCATGTCATCGTATCCCAAATGCCTAGATCGATGCTCATGGTGTCAATCACTGGATTGTCTGGTCAAGACTTGATTATTTGCAGTCCGCTGTCATGTAGCTGGAATACTGCTGAGTGCGGCGTTAACAAACAAACAAACAAACAAACAAAGAATCCAATGTTTAATCTGGTCAGTGATAAGTAAGGGATATCTCCGTCATCACAAGTTGTATGTAAAGAGGGGAGTGTTAGATGTTCTAGGTGTTTTCAGGAGATACTAGCAAGTGTGATATCTGTGTAGAGTATGTCAATGACTTTGATTCAGTCATTTCCCAGTATGCATGCATGCAATCCCACCCCCATGTTGTGCTTGTGAGACGAGGTTGTGCATGACCCGCCCCGTGTTATGACCAGGGAGGACCTGCTTGATGCATGTTATAAATCCTGTATATGTCCCACGTTTGGCTTTTGTCACTTGAAAAATATGTAACAAATATCAGATATTATATCTAAAATAACAAATTTTAATAATAATTTAAATTCTTTATTACAAGCTTTCCTTTTTCATTGTTCTTACAAATACTTAATCAATGATAAATTATGTGACTGTTGCACTTGTATGATCGTCCGCTTTGTACAGTGATATCTATTTCAAGTAATGAGAACATGTGATCTCAGCATCAGTAAGTAAGGGAGGCTGTCATTCACAATAAGAGAGTTCCTCATGTCATAACATCTACACGTCATACTTGGGCGCTGAAGGCTTATAAAATTGTGCTGTCTACCCCGCGTGCCTCCCTTTGCACAAGCGTTTAAATAATTAGTTTCCCACAAGGAGGCGCTGTGAAGAAAGCGATGCATAAAGCTGAACCCGTCCAGAATTATGAAAACTTTCCCGTGCCAGGAAGCCACAAGGATGCATACGAGAACTTTCCCCCGTTAATTACGCAAGGTAAAGTCTGCTGCATAACGATGCTGCTGTTTTAACTTTTGCATGTTGGTTTGGATGAATTTAGATATATTTTCATACTTCGGTTGGTGCTTGTTGTAACTATTGAATACTTCAACTTAAAAACATATTTGAATGAATTACAAATGATGGCATGCATTGTTCTGAGAAGGTATGAACTTTGGACATGTATTATTGTATTGTAGATATTTCTTTCAAGATGGACCATACATTATCCATCTCCGTCAACATTGGTGCCCTTTTCATGGGGTGGGGATGGAGCAGGTGGGGTGGGGATGAAGCAGATGGGGTGGGGATGGAGCAGGTGGGGTGGGGATGAAGCAGATGGGCTGGGGATGGAGGAGGTGGGGTGGGGATGAAGCAGGTGGGGTGGGGATGAAGCAGATGGGGTGGGGATGAAGCAGATGGAGTGGGGATGAAGCAGATGGGCTGGGGATGGAGGAGGTGGGGTGGGGATGAAGCAGGAGGGGTGGGGATGAAGCAGATGGGGTGGGGATGAAGCAGATGGAGTGGGGATGAAGCAGATGGGCTGGGGATGGAGGAGGTGGGGTGGGGATGAAGCAGGAGGGGTGGGGATGAAGCAGGAGGGGTGGGGATGAAGCAGGTGGAGTGGGGATGAAGCAGGAGGGGTGGGGATGGAGGAGGTGGGGTGGGGATGAAGCAGATGGGGTGGGGATGAAGCAGATGGGCTGGGGATGGAGGAGGTGGGGTGGGGATGGAGGAGGTGGGGTGGGGATGAAGCAGGAGGGGTGGGGATGAAGCAGGAGGGGTGGGGATGAAGCAGGAGGGGTGGGGATGAAGCAGGTGGGGTGGGGATGAAGCAGGAGGGGTGGGGATGAAGCAGGTGGGGTGGGGATGGAGCAGGTGGCGTGGGGATGGAGCAGGTAGGGTGGGGATGGAGCAGGTAGGGTGGGGATGGAGCAGGTGGGGTGGGGATGAAGCAGGTGGGGTGGGGATGAAGCAGGAGGGGTGGGGATGAAGCAGGTGGGGTGGGGATGGAGCAGGTGGGGTGGGGATGGAGCAGGTAGGGTGGGGATGAAGCAGGTGGGGTGGGGATGGAGCAGGTGGGGTGGGGATGAAGCAGGAGGGGTGGGGATGAAGCAGGAAGGGTGGGGATGGAGCAGGTGGGGTGGGGATGAAGCAGGAAGGGTGGGGATGAAGCAGGTGGGGTGGGGATGAAGCAGGAGGGGTGGGGATAGAGGAGGTGGGGTGGGGATGAAGCAGATGGGGTGGGGATGAAGCAGATGGGCTGGGGATGGAGGAGGTGGGATGGGGATGGAGGAGGTGGGGTGGGGATGAAGCAGGAGGGATGGGGATGAAGCAGGTGGGGTGGGGATGAAGCAGGAGGGGTGGGGATGAAGGAGGTGGGGTGGGATGAAGCAGATGGGCTGGGGATGAAGCAGGAGGGGTGGGGATGGAGGAGGTGGGGTGGGGATGAAGCAGATGGGGAAGGGATGAAGCAGATGGGCTGGGGATGGAGGAGGTGGGGTGGGGATGGAGCAGGTGGGCTGGGGATGAAGCAGATGGGCTGGGGATGGAGGAGATGGGATGGGGATGGCGCAGATGGGGTGGGGATGAAGCAGGTGGGGTGGGGATGGAGCAGATGGGGTGGGGATGGAGCAGGTGGGGTGGGGATGGAGCAGATGGGGTGGGGATGGAGCAGGTGGGGTGGGGATCGAGCAGGTTTGGGTGGAAATGAAGCAGGTAGGGTGGGGATGGAGGAGGTGGGGTGGGATGAAGCAGGTGGGGTGGGGATGGAGCAGGAGGGGTGGAGATGAAGCAGGTTGGGTGGAGATGGAGGAGGTGGGGTGGGGATGAAGCAGATGGGATGTGGATGAAGCAGGTGGGGTGGGGATGGAGGAGGTGGGGTGGGATGAAGCAGGTGGGGTGGGGATGAAGCAGGTGGGGTGGGGATGAAGCAGTTGTGCTTGGGATGGAGAAGGTAGGGTGGGGATGGAGCAGGTGGGATGGGGATGAAGCAGGTGGGGTGGGGATGAAGCAGGTGGGGTGGGGATGGAGGAGGTAGGGTGGGGATGGAGCAGGTTGGGTGGGGATGGAGCAGATGGGCTGGGGATGGAGCAGATGGGGTGGGGATGGAACAGTTGGGGTGGGGATGGAGCAGGTGGGGTGGGGATGAAGCAGGTGGGGTGGGGATGGAGGAGGTGGGGTGGGGATGAAGCAGGTGGGGTGGGGATGAAGCAGGAGGGATGGGGATGGAGGAGGTAGGGTGGGTATGGAGCAGGTGGGGTGAGGATGATGCAGGTGGGGTGGAGATGGAGGAGGTGGGGTGGGGATGAAGCAGGTGGGGTGGGGATGGAGGAGGTAGGGTGGGGATGGAGCAGGTTGGGTGGGGATGGAGCAGATGGGCTGGGGATGGAGCAGATGGGGTGGGGATGGAACAGTTGGGGTGGGGATGGAGCAGGTGGGGTGGGGATGAAGCAGGTGGGGTGGGGATGGAGGAGGTGGGGTGGGGATGAAGCAGGTGGGGTGGGGATGAAGCAGGAGGGGTGGGGATGGAGGAGGTAGGGTGGGTATGGAGCAGGTGGGGTGAGGATGATGCAGGTGGGGTGGAGATGGAGGAGGTGGGGTGGGAATGAAGCAGGTGGGGTTGGGATGAAGCAGGTCGGTTGGGGATGGAGCAGGTCGGTTGGGGATGGAGGAGGTGGGGTGGGGATGAAGCAGGTGGGGTGGGGATGGAGCAGGTCGGTTGGGGATGGAGCAGGTGGGGTGGGGATGAAGCAGGTTGGGATGAAGCAGGTGGGGTGGGGATGAAGTAGGTGGGGTGGGGATGGAGCAGGTGGGGTGGGGATGGAGCAGGTGGGGTGGGGATGGAGCAGGTCGGTTGGGGATGGAGCAGGTGGGGTGGGGATGAAGCAGGTTGGGATGAAGCAGGTGGGGTGGGGATGAAGTAGGTGGGGTGGGGATGGAGCAGGTGGGGTGGGGATGGAGCAGGTAGGGTGGGGATGAAGCAGGTTGGGATGAAGCAGGTGGGGTGGGGATGGAGCAGGTGGGGTGGGGATGGAGCAGGAGGGGTGGGGATGAAGCAGGTGGGGTGGGGATGGAGCAGGTGGGGTGGGGATGAAGCAGGTGGGGTGGGGATGGAGCAGGTGGGGTGGGGATGAAGCAGGTCGGGTGGGGATGGAGCAGGTGGGGTGGGGACAGAGCGGGTTAGGTTTGATGTTGTATTTAAAGAGTCTTTTTATTTGTATTTCTTTTTACTCTTGGTAAGAACATTAACCTCAAATCAACCCTTGCAACAGTTTGTTTTTCTGGTGCTTGTTCCTGTCAGTTAATTATTTTTGTTGGAACTGAAACCTGGAAGTGTTTGAGTTCACATATGCCAAAGCAAGGGTGACGGTTGAGGTAGTTGATGGGAACAATTGAGGCTCAACTCGAAGCCAAGTTTCAGCAGCAATTTAGCAATTGAGTAGCCAGAGCATTATGGTACATGTAATTCATGACTGGGCCATCCTTGCTATGGCAATCCATGACTTGCTCATCGTTGCTATGGTAATTCATGACTTGGTCATCGTTGCTATGGCAATCCGTGACTTGGTCATCCTTGCTATGGCAATCCATGACTTGGTAATCGTTGCTATGGTAATTCTTGACTGGGTCATTGTTGCTATGGCAATCCATGACTTGGTCATTGTTGCTATGGTTATTCTTGACTGGGTCATCGTTGCTATGGCAATCCATGACTTGGTCATTGTTGCTATGGTTTTTCTTGACTGGGTCATCGTTGCTATGGCAATCCATGACTTGGTCATCGTTGCCATGGTAATTCTTGACTGGGTCATCGTTGCTATGATAAGTAATTACTATTATCGTTGCTTTGGTAATTCGTGACTGTATCATCCTTGCTATGGCAATCCATAACTTGGTCATCGTTGCTATGGTAATTCTAGACTGGGTCATCGTTGCTATGATAAGTAATTACTATTATTGTTGCTTTTGTAATTCGTGACTGGGTCATCGTTGCTATGGTAATTCATGACTGGATCATTGTTGCTATGGTAATTCATGACTGGGTCATCGTTGTTATGGTAGTTCATGACTGGGCTATCATTGTTAAGGTAATTCACAACCAGACCATTGTTGCTATGGTAAAATTCGAGACTGGGCAATCGTTGCTGTAGTAATTCACAACTAGTACATATGTTGCTATGGTTATAGCACGCTATAACCAAGTTAACACTGTATTGAAGTGTGCAATAGAGAGGGAACACTGTACCAGTCTTGCAGTTTGGTTGTACTGTCACTTGTATTTTAGTTATAGGTTTACAGATTTCTCTAAAGTGATTTAATTTGAGAAGGTTAAAATATATATACGGAGATAAACTGAAACTGAAATTTCTTGTGGCATAACATTGAACTGATTGGTCAGTCTGGCAGGACTCAGAATACTGATGTAAAAGATTCTTCACTTAATCTGCACTGTGCCTTAAATTTGAATTTATTTTTATTTTTTGTGACACATTGTTCGTCAATCCATGAACCTATTGTTTTCCTTGAAATCTTGGAATACATTCTAAATTTATGATGACTACCTGTTGCAAATGATAATGAACCAGCAAGAGGGTTTGTTCAGTGACCACATAGTGGACGAGTCCAAATTTACGACCTGGCTACTCGACTCCCTATTACCAAACTCTACCGGGTACCCACTGTAGATGTAGACACATGTATACCACAGACTGAAGTTGATTGAAGCTTTATCTTAACTCAAAGATATGAAATGTGCGCACAGTCAGAAAGAAATGCAAACATGAATGATGTTTATTGTTTTTGTAATTAAACAATATTTCATGTGACCAACCACGGGTCCGGGTGGTCCTGTGGGTACCCGGGTCGTACTCAGGACCCACTTGACCCAAGTACCCGAGATAACCGTCCCATCCCAACAATAGAGACTGTTATAAGAATGTTCTGGCCACTATGTTATAGCCCAGGAACCCTGTAGGGATTCCAGGTTAGAATTGGTCCCTAGCAGCCTGTGTTAGCCATGAGAGGCTTCTTAATGGACCAGATGATCAGCTGGGGTGGATTGTGTGTCATGGCAGCCCAATTTAGGATTGAAGTTGTATTTGTTGACGTTCATCAGCTCATGAAGACAGTGACTCACGTGAGCAAATTGCATGATGTGCGAAGCCATTGCTTGTTGCTGGTTGCTGTCATGTAGCTGGAATATTGCTGAGTGCAGTGGTATTTTTAAACAACAAACAATCTCAGCCCACAATGACTGTTGTAAGGTCACACTTTTATTTTGATATTGACAAAGTTTGCTAACCAGTTAAGTTAGTTGTGTCCATCAAAATAAAAATATACAACAAATTGTGCAGCTCAATATTTTGTATTTTATGTGGCATGAAGGTGCGTGGGTTGGTTAGTCAAGTGGGATGTTTTACAGGTTAACATGTATATATTATATGTGAAGTTATGTAATGTCAAAAACATTAATAGTTACTTTAAGTTATCTATAAATTTTGTAATTCTATCTTCTTAATTTCTTAATCCATCATTGATTGGATTCTCAGGCATATGGTCATAAATTTCAGAATATATTTATTATGTTTTCTGATAACACTTAAGCCTCAGATCAGTTGAAGCCGTAACTGAAAAATATAACAGTTTTGCTTAGTTGCCACTTGATTGTTCTGATGTATAAACTGTGTACTGACCACCTTGCTTCTTCTGTTCAACAGAGCATGCAACAACAGGCCCAGAGAGCCCCACTTATGTAAGTGTTAACTCATCTTTTCTGTGAGTGAGTAGGGTTTTGTGCATCATCAGTGCATCACAGGTTTGTACACACTACCTTCGTCCATCACGTGTGAATACATATGACCACTTTGGAGTGTAATAATCATGTGTGTCTATTTTCATGTATAACTCAAAGAAGTCAAACGAGCCCTTATAAATCCGCCTGGGAACTTTGTGAAGCAGTGTGGACAGTCAAGTCTGCAAGGCTATGGCACATGAGGCACTAGAAACATTGCTGATGTCATCTGAGTGCTCATTGGTCGCACCACTGGCTATTTCCGTCTCGATGGAACCAGGCCATGGCTTGGTTCGTTGATTAAAATGTCCAACTACATCGCAAACTTAAGCTGCCATATGTATTCATGGATGATGGAAGAACCAAGTGTTGTCTCTACAAACCTGTGAAGTACCGTATTGGACATAATAAGCACCCAGGGCAAAAAAAATTAGAAATAGAGGGCTCTTATTAGAAAATTATTTTGATGAAAAACAACAGAGTTGAAAGATCGTGAATTTCGTGGTTTATACTGACAGCCTGAAATGTTTATATACGACGGATATATGTTTCCAGAATTTAATTTCCCATAATTAAGGATGCATATAACACACGTATTATACACGAATAGATAAGTCTTGTGTACATTGATCAATCGGAAAGGGTGTAATTCAGTGTCCAACCCAGACTGCACAATTGCGTGATTCACGCTAAAAAAAATCAAATCACCCCTCATAAAAAACTCAAAGCGCGATCTGTCGCGCACAGTAATTTCTTGTACAGTCACTTACTTTATCAGCTGTTAATCCCTACCTTTAGATTCAATACTCACTAAATCTTTAATCAATTAACGAAGAAAGACAGTTCACAGCAATTATTGTAAAAAACTGTCAAAGACCGATCGATAATAACCGGAATTTCGAACATGAGTTACGTCCCTTGGGTTGCTGAATAAATGATTGACAGGATTTGCATAGGAAACAAAATTTAATTTACTTTAGTAGAAAGCGTATCAAAACTTTGATCAAAATTATATTGTTATTTGTTGTTTAGTAATCAAAAACCTTTGACAAGATGTTAAAATACAATAAATATTCTATCTTGAATAGTTCTGAAAATATTTTTGAGCATTTTAGTTCGTTTCAGTTTCGTTTCTGAAATCACTCAATATGAATCACCGACTGTCATTGCAGACGATCTTTTGAAAAGTGAAAATGTCGCGGATGGGGAGTCATCAGTGCATCATAGATGCATTGATGTCACTTTGACATTGATAGGCTGGGTTTGTTTGTGGACCATTGGAGCACCATTGAAATTGGTTGGAGGTTACCGACTTATTTACTCAACATTTGTAATCATACAGTTGAAACAGACCTTTGTTACCATGTTATCTTGAACTAAGACTTGAAACCTTAGCACTTTCTATCTCCTGGAACAAAGTTGACTCTTCCCACTATCAGGAACTAAGCATAGAGAAACTGTAGCCTCCACGGCCTCCAGATATCAATCGTAACACTACGACTGTCGTAACTGCCATACGATTTCTAGGGCATTGCTAAGTTACGATAGTCGTAGCAGTGTACGAAATGTATGCATGAAAGTCCCTTATGTTAAAAGGTAAAGATTTAGGGGTCCTTAGATTCAATATAGGGTTTCACCTTGTCTTACATATATGGGGGTAGGGGACTCCGAGGGATTAATTTCAAGGGTTGTTGCAGGCAATGTCCTTTAATGATGATAATGGTGTAGTGTACTGTACATTAGATAATTACTTAAGAGCCTGGAATGAATCAAATGATTATGTGGACAGTGGTCATGCTTGATGGATGCAAATTGCCATATTTGGTGAAGATACACTATCTAGCGTCTTGTTTACATATTAGGAACTATCTATTTCTATTAGTGTAAACAAATTGTTGGAAGATTGAACAATGGTATAACATTAAAGCTAACGGAACACTGTTATAACAGATGAACAGATTCCATGCTGCTAAATCCATTTTAGCTGTGCCTAGTGCCTTCTTCTAATGCCAGCACTTCTCTTCTTTGGTAGGGCTGTGTATTGGCAAACAATCACATTGCAATATATTGCGATTCAGGTATAAATCTTATTATGGGACACCAATGTACATGCAGATCCCATTTCTACAGTAAATATTACTCAATATTTGTGCAGCATTAAAAAGTCATGGATGCAGGGGAGATAACAATACGAGAGAAAAATCACTTCCGCATTTCAGCGTTTGGGCAATCAATTTTGAAGGGAAACATCATTTGTGGATCAATGTCTGTGTAAATTGTTAGTTAAACGATTCAAATACTAATGTTAGTTATTGTTTACCCAATGTACTGGAACACAGAGAGAATATTGCAAAACTTATCATTTGAAAAGCATATTGCGGTATACCGTGCAGCCCTATTGTTTGGTATGTTCTGGTTCACACATTGCTGGTTTAGAAGGCAGCTGGTCTTTGTCAGCACAGGCATATTCAATTGCTTCACGTTGTTTGTCTTTGGGCACCATATTGACACTTTAGCTGAATAACCACATGGACGGACATTAATATCTTTGATAATGTAACATTGATATCCTTTTACATCCTACTTTTTGTAAACATTTCAGCATGTATATATATTTACCTGATGAGTGAGGGAGTATGGTTTTACGCCGCTTTAAGCAATATTCCAGCAATATGATGGCGGGGGACACCAGAAATGGGCTTCACACATTGTACCCATGTTGGGAATCAAACCCGGGTCTTCGGCGTGATGAGCTAACGCTTTAACCACTTTTCTACCCGACCGCCCCTCACCTGATGAAGGGGCAAGAGGTAGCCAAGAAATGTTGTTACAACAATACAGAACTTGTTATCCATGAAAGTTTGATGTCCTCATGTTCTTTCAACTTCTAAATGTCTGTTGAAGACTTCATGTAAGATAGGGTTGTCACGATTAGACTATGCTTCGATACGTCGTAACTTTACATGATACACATGCCAATGTATTAATTCATGTTTTGCAATAATAAATGTTCACTTCATTTTGCAATAACCCACCAGATAACCATTCGGACTTGTTACCTTACAGTGTATCATGAAACAAAATGCTACATTTAATGCCCAAAATTATCAGAACAACCCTTTATTAACCATTCATGCAAGTTAACACAAAGTGCTGGATACCAACAACCATGTGTTAGCGAAGTCAGATGTAACATGGGAGTATTTCACACACAAATGGTACCAATTGAGTGTCACGATAATTGAGGTAAGCCTATCATGACACCACTAAATGTAAATATTGTTGTATTTTTTTCAAGTAGATATGAGTAGTTGTGATATGATGAGCTAGTAGTATCTTGTGCTGCTTCAGGACTTTGCCCCAGAGTTGCCATCTCGAGGGTACGAGAAGGAGGGTGAGTTACGTCACGTATTGCACATTTGCACATATCACAGTTTATGCACTAACGTTTGGTTCACTTGGATGAAGTTAATAATAAATGTGCTGGGTGACCTTCATCACTGATACTTTGTATGGCGTGTGTTGTACGACATCAATCAATCAAAGGAGATCAAGGCATGATGTTGATGAATTGTGCATCGATCATATTGCATGACATATATCAACTAATCTTCACAGCAGTTGAATTTGTATGGCTTTTTATTAAATTTATACCATTTTGTATGAAACACATTTTTAATACTCTCTGTATTGATCGCATTGCATGGCACAATCAAAGCATGTGTTACTATGTTTACTATAGATCTTTTCTATAATGGAGATTCGGATGTCGAAGAGGGGTTTTGTGCCAAAATGAGGATTGGGTGTTCAAAATGCAGAGGTTTATCTAGACCTGCTTAGAGGCTGATATTTGGTCTCAAATCTGAAGCAAATGTCTCATTGTTTTCTTATCATCAATATGACATCCAATAATATGTGTCTTCATTGCATGTGTAATACAGAAGTGTTAGCGTTCCATGCATGTGTAATACAGAAATATTAGCATCCATGCATGTGTAATACGGAAATATAAGCGTCCATGCATGTGTAATACAGAAATATTAGCCTTCCATGCACGTGTAATACAGAAATATTAGCGTCCATGCATGTGTAATACGGAAATATAAGCCTTCCATGCATGTGTAATACAGAAATATTAGCGTCCATGCATGTGTAATACGGAAATATAAGCCTTCCATGCATGTGTAATACAGAAATATTAGCGTTCATGCATGTGTAATACGGAAATATTAGCCTTCCATGCACGTGTAATACAGAAATATTACTATCCATGCATGTGTAATACAGAAATATTAGCCTTCCATGTATGTGTAATACAGAAATATTACTGTCCATGCATGTGAAATATATAGAAATATTAGCCTTCCATGCATGTGTAATACAGAAATATTAGCGTCCATGCATGTGTAATACAGAAATATTAGCGTCCATGCATGTGTAATACAGAAATTTATTATATACTTCAGTGTGAAAGAAGTTGAGACAAGTGATATTTTCATTGCAGTGAGCATAACACTTTGTTATAAGCTGTCAATTTCTCATTTAACTTGTTAATCGAGACTGTTCATTTCGCAAAGTGCCATTTTGGTTACTTGACCAGCGTGTTTTCTTTTGCTTCCAACAGCGGCCTTGTAGGTTTCAAGAATATTTTCAAGTTGATTTTGTATATAAGCATATCCAAATGCATGATAAAGAATTTTATTGACCTCAAATATCTTTTGTTACTTTTTTTATAATTTTAAAGATTTTACAAATACGGAATACTTGTTTCAGTCACATCTAGCCTGCTTGGTAGGGAGAATATACATTTCAAGGTTTTACATTTGTAATGAAATAATTTAATTTTCATGTAGACTTCAATGCATGTATATTACAGAAATATTAGGACTACCAAGCATGTGTAATACAGAAATAAAAGGCTTCAATGCTCAATGCTTGTGTAATACAGAAATAAAATGCCTCAATGCTTGTGTAACATGGTGTAATATAGAAATATGAAACTTCTGTGCATTTGTAATACAGAAATACAAGGCTGGATTTAATATGGAAATACAAGGCTTCAATGCATGTTAAATATGGAGATATACAGTTTCCATCTGTTTGTAATACAGAAATATAGGACTACCAAGCATGTGTGATATAGAAATTTTTGATGCATGTGTAATACAGAAATATAAGACTTCAGTGCGTATGAAGCTTCTTGTATGAGTAATATAAAAATATGCCCCAACCAACTCATTCTGATTTCATTCATCCTTGATGCCTGATTATGTATCATGTATTCCAATCTTGTATATCCTAACTTCAATTGGCCCAATTGCCTGTGGCCCTGCAATTTGCTGTTCAGAGTTCCATCCCTTTTCATGAAAGGATCTGATGATCATTAGTTGAAATCCAAGTTTTGTCCTGCTTATGATCCTTGGTTTGTTAGCACTGTACCTGTGCTTGAAGGTTACACCACAGTGGCAAATATCTACAACCTGTGTCACTTTGTGCACTTTATAAACTATAGGCTGACCTGCAGTGATGTAACTAAGACATAGCACCTGCACTCACTCACTCACTCACTCACTCACTCACTCACTCACTCACTCATGATTTCACCGAATTCCAATCCATTTTAATCCTTTTAGTCCCAATTCAAATGTTAAATGTCTTATTCCAATCTTATGTTCATTATGTCATCATTTGTTCCAGTTATTTTTTACAGATCTTGCTGCAATAGATATTTTGGACTATTATTACTATAGCTATTCACCCTTTTCATTGGAGCAGATTGTACTTATTATTCAATAATTCAAGTTATAGAGGTGTCTAACAAACTCATATTAATAAACTAATCAGACTTTTGTGTATCTTCCGTTATATTTTGTATTTTCATTTTATAAGTAAGAAGATTTTAATTTCATAAGTCAACTCTTTCACATGCCTCAAAATAGTTACCCACATGCATAATTAGAGTAAAAACTATAAATATACAAGTGAAACATCATCACATTATAAGTATTGTCCTACACATCTTCCAGAGGCAATTACAACACTATCTCCACCACCAGCCTCTGGATTCGGGACAGTCAGTGCATTAGGTGGGGCTGTCCCCTCTGCACGATCAAGACTTGACAGTTCTGGAGCAGCAGCAGCAGCATCAGCATCATCAAGGACTATCGAAACAACATCTTCCAGCAGTCCTATGACCCGAAGTGTGGCCAGCAGCATGGACAGCGTCTACTCGGAGATCTCAAACGTACAGGAGTCACCAAGAAGGACAGAAGGTCCTTCAGTTAGTCGAGCACCCCCTGGGAATCACCAGCAACTCCAATTTCAAAATCACAATTCAGCTGGTACCAATTCTCGGAATCCGTTTGGGGTAATGAAGGATATATTTCATGTGAGTGGAACAAGCAGAAGATGCTTGATAAGGAACCCAATGGTCTTTGTTACCGTGAATATATTTGTGTGTCCCTGTCACAGGGTCTTTTTGTACAATTTATTCCAATAGTCAATACAAATGTTCAGAGACATGTCTTGACGTAAAAATAATTTATGATAAAACCTCATTGGTAGTTTTTAGTCTAGGTAAGTCTGAGACAGTTGTCTGGTGTCTAGAACATTCAGAGACAATAGTATGGTGCCTATGTCATTCTGGGACAATGTTCTGGTGCCTGGTACAAATTGTACGGTGCCTGTGTCATTCTGGGACGATGGTCAGGTGCTTTAGTCATTCTGAGAAGTTTCTGGTGCCTAGGTACATTCTTGGACAATGGTATGGTACCTATGCCATTCTGAGACAATGATCTGGTGCCTAGGTCAGTCTGGGACAATGGCCTGATGCCTTGATCCAGTGTAGAACATTGGTCTGTTGTCTTGGTCACTTTGGAACAATGTTCTCATGCTTGGCTCAATCTTGGCAATGGTCTGATGCCTGGATCCAGTGCAGGGCAATTGTCTGGTACCTTGGTCAGTCTTGGACAATGACTTTGTCATATGTCTTTCTGAGAAAATTCTGTTGTTTCTAGGTCAATCTCAGACAATGGTCCGGTGTCTATGTCATCCTTGGACAGTGGTCTGGTGCCTAGGATATTTTTGGGCAATTGTCTGCTGCCTATGCCATTCTGGGACAATGTTCTGGTTCCTAGGATGAATGCCTGGTTGTTATGTCATTCTGGGATGACGATCTGGTTCCGACGGTCAGTCTGGGATAATGGTCTGGTCCCCAGGTCAGTCTGGGACAATGGTCTGATGCCCAGGTCAGTCTGAGACAATGGTCTGGTGCCTATGACAGTCAAGGACAATGGTCTGATGCCCACGTCAGTCGTGGACAATGGTCTGGTGCCCAGATCAGTCTGGGACAATGGTCTAGCGCCTGGGTCAGCATGGGACAATGTTCTTATGCCTATGACAGTCTGGAACAATGGTCTGATTCCTGGATCCAGTGTAGGACAATGGTCTGGTGCCTGGGTCAGTCTCGGACAATGGTCTGTGCCTGGGTCTATCAGGGACAATGGTCTGCTGCCTTGGTTAGTCTGGGACAATGGTCTGGTGCCTGGGTCTATCGGGGACAATGGTCTGCTGCCTTGGTCAGTTTGGGACAATGGTCTGCTGCCTTGGTCAGTTTGGGACAATGGTCTGGTGCCTGGTTCTATCGTGGATAATAGTCTGGTGCCTGGGTTAGTCTGAGACAATGTTCTGGTGCCTAGGTCAGTCTGGGACAATTGTCTGGTGCCTTGGTCCGGTCTGGTGTCGGTTTGCTGGGATAATGGTCTTGTGCTCAGGTCAGTCTGGAACAATGGTCTGGTGCCTGGGTCTATCAGGGACAATGGTCTGCTGCCTTGGTTAGTCTGGGACAATGGTCTGGTGCCTGGGTCTATCGGGGACAATGGTCTGCTGCCTTGGTCAGTTTGGGACAGTTGTCTGGTGCCTGGGTCAGCCTCGGACAATGGTCTGTGCCTTGGTCTATCAGGGACAATGGTCTGCTGCCTTGGTCAGTCAGGGACAATGATCTGTGCCTGGGTCTATTGTGGAAAATGGTCTGCTGCCTTGGTCAGTCTGGGACAATGGTCTGCTGCCTTGGTCAGTTTGGGACAATGGTCTGGTGCCTGGTTCTATCGGGGATAATAGTCTGGTGCCTTGGTTAGTCTGAGACAATGTTCTGGTGCCTAGGTCAGTCTGGGACAATGGTCTGGTGTCTGCTGTAGACATGTGACCCATTTTCATGCACGAAAAGTAAAAATGACGAAGTTGGATTTTTTGTTATATTCATAAAAAGACAAAAGGATGTCTTGAAATGACATTATGAAACTAGATAACCTGTATTCCCTGGGAAGGAACAACATGTCAGTTAAGTCCCGACCCAACTTGTTAGCTTTGAAATAAAAGAAAGTGTGTCATACAATGTCGTCGTCCAAACGATGTCTGTTAAGGAAAATACATTCTGTGAAAATCTTACAAAACTTAAAGAAAACACAATCTGTTTGGGTAATGTTATTTTGGCACACTGATTATGGGTTCTGGAAAATACAACCAGAGGCTATCTACCGATATATGGTCTCTGGTTGGACCAATACCGATATATGGTCTCTGGTTGGACCAATACCGATATATGGTCTCTGGTTGAACCAATACCGATATATTGTATCTGGTTGAACCAATACCGATATATGGTCACTGGTTGGACCAATACCGATATATTGTATCTGGTTGGACCAATACCGATATATGGTCTCTGGTTGGACCAATACCGGTATATGGTCTCTGGTTGGACCAATATCAATATATGGTCTCTGGCTTGACCAATACCGATATATGGTCTCTGGTTGGACCAATACCGATATATGGTCTCTGGTTGGACCAATACCGATATATGGTCTCTGGTTGGACCAATACCGATCTATGGTCTCGATATGTGGTTTCTGATCCAACAGATTCATCTGTGAAAATATTAATCATACCTGAGCCCTGTTCCACAAAGCGAGGGGTGGTCGGGTAGCCTAGTGGTTAAAGCGTTAGCTTGTCATGCCGAAGACCCGGGTTCGATTCCCGACATGGGTACAATGTGTGAAGCCCATTTCTGGTGTTCCCCGCTGTGATATTGCTGGAATATTGCTAAAAGCGGCGTAAAACCATACTCATTCACTCACTCACTCCACAAAGCCATCTTAGCACTAAGATGATAGTAACTCCCATACTTTAACATAGACTTACGACACTTGTGGCGCTAAGATCGCTTTGTGGAACAGGGCACTGGTTTGAAAACTAAAACCTCTGCTAAGACACGAACACAAAAGTTAAAAATCTGTTATTTCCCTGTAGTTTGAATATAATTTCCTCAGCACATTTATAAGCAAATTGCATTTATGGATCTCACAATGGCCAATTGTTCTGATTTCAATTTAGATTTTTTTTCATGTATTTAGCACAGGTTCTTTGGTAACAACTTTTTTTCACTTCACAAGAGGATTTTGGTTCTATTCAGATATTTTGATGGAATGATATTTTCTTTATATATCATAATTTCTTCAGACTATTTAGCTTAACACAAACGATGAAAAACTGTCATCACACATAACCGTTCCAGCATAGAGAACCGCCCACAAACTGATTACATCACGGTTTGTTGTGCACTTTTAATTTCCTTTGCTTAACAGAAAATATGCATGCAATTGTTATGTGATTTTACTCAGAATGCTCAATGAGGTTATACTTCACACAATAAACAATGTATCGGTTGCCAAACCTGGGTTATTGAATGGCTGGAAGGACCGTGTGCTATTTATCACAACTCGCCCCTTTCCGAAAACTGAATTCAGCTTGCCGTAATGACATGAGTTGTTACAAATGGGTCATGTGCATGTGGTAGTGCAGGGATCAAACGCCGCACTCAGCAATATTACAGCTATAGGCGCCAGTCTGTAAATAATCGAGTCTGAGCCAGACAATCCAGTGATTGACATCATGAGCATCCAGCTATGCAATTGGGATACGATGACATGCATCAACAACGACACCGAGCCTGACCACCTAATACCGTACACAACTGAGCAACCTGAAATTGTTCAAACAAACTCAATGCACACTTCTGAGAATTAAGCAACAGATGTAAGGAATAAAAAATCACTTTAATATATGACTGTAACATCACAAAATGTGTGCAGAATATTTACGTTTCTATTTGAACTGCTGTGTACTGAGTGTATTTAACTTTCTCTTAAGTAAATTCTTTTTCAGATTAACCTGTTACAAAGTTTCTTTAGAATAGTTGTCTGTTTGATAGTATATCTGTAATATATCTGGGGGATTGAGCATTTTCCTTGTTTCAATACTCTATGCACCTGTATGTTGTAAGTCGTATCTGTTACGTGGATAATATAAGTTGTAGCAGGATCACTCGGGGTACATGCGTCCTACGTTAGGTTTTATACCACGAGCCTCCAGCTCATGGTATAAGACCTAATGAGGGATGCATAAAACCCCATGTACCCTGAGTGACCCTGCTACAAATTAATCCTACCGACATGTTCAATGTGACATTGTAAAAGAATTAACACAAATTCAACATTGATAGAAAGCAGCACTTCGATTGAGCTTAGGTTAACTTGCATTTTGTCATGTGACTTAGACTGACTTGGAAAAGCATGTGACTTTTGATTTGAAACGGGGTTTGAGGGATTTAATTTTCTTCTCAGAAATCCACGTGCAGCTTGTGTTGCTCATGGCGGGGTACAAGAGATTTATTTCCTCGTTGAGTAATGTATTACCCTCCAAGCGGGTTACACAGTATTTTATCAAGATAACGTTTACCAATCAGGTCTCATCATTCTGACATGAAGGTATGATAAGGTATTTTAACATTAATTCAGAAAAGGGGATTAGGTGCCTGACTCTGAGGATGTGGGTTCAAATCTGAGCTGTTACGTTTCACGTTTGCAATTCATCAATTTGGCTTCAATATTGGAGACAGAATTACTGGAACCTGCTTGTGTTTGGATCGCCTTGTATTTGTGACTGTTAACATAACTGTTCACTACCAGTGTTGGATCTGATATTTGCTTATTTAGAAACAATTAAACTTGTCATAGAAAGTACTAACGTTTTCTAGGCAACATAGTAAAGATTGTGCAATTCTTTGTCAAGCTATGCAGCATTCATGTGCTTACAATTTAAATATTCCTAGTTACTCCCCTGTTTTGTATAATATAGCCAATTGTTTCACCCTTTTGAAATATTGTTATCACAGGATATTAAATTGTTTGCTTTATTTCTGTAAGAATTGTAAAAAAATCATAAAAGACCCATTGGTCAGACCTTGGGGGGGGACACGGGTGGCCCAGTCATGGCCCATTGCGTCCCTTGACCATGCCAGAAACCGATGATTATTGGTTTGAATCCCAGTAATCCAACCAGTCTCAGTGTAATCCAACCAGTTTCAGTGTAATCCAACCAGTCTCAGTGTAATCCAACCAGTTTCAGTGCAATTCAACCAGTTTCAGTGTAATCCAACCAGTTAAAGGAGTGATGATTGGGTCATTTTGGATCAGTCATTTTAATGGCTGGAGGTATTGAGTTAATGAAGTGTCCACTGATGCAGGTTTAAGGTATTATGACATATTTGAAACACAAGGATCAAGATAAGGGCTCCCAGTGAAGATCTGGGTTAGAATCGGTCTTCACCAAACCATGTTTGTCGTAACAGGTGACTAGCATGGACGGGTGGTCAGGTTCGCTGACTTGGTTGATGCATATCATATCGCAGTTTGGTAGATCGAAACCTGGATTTTCTGTCCCAGTGTCTGTTGTCAACAGACTGCTGTCATATCGCTTGAATACTGCTGCGAGCAGCTTTAAATAAGAACAAAACATTTGAAGGGACATCCCTCCCTACCCATTGTTCATTAGTACATTTGGCACAGACAATTGTTAAACCAGACAATTTCATTGGGAACTATACCGTCTTGATTTTCCCTGGGTTTTACTGTTTTTTGATTTTGATGAAGTAATTAATGACTATTTGTCTCATTTACAGATTCGAAATCAACGACCAGCAGGTAAGCTGTTCTTTGTAAAAATTCAGTACTGTATTTCATAATATATTTATCTACACATTTCAATTTTATTATTCTTAATATGTAACTGGTGAGCAACAGTCCCTCAGTTAAATGGCCTTTGTTTTATGTCATTACATCAAATAGCCTTACTGTTTGGACCCCAGAAGAAAACACTATTCTACTGTTGCAGTTTGACGTTGGTACTTGGAACCAGCTGTATTTTGTGTAGTATGGGTCTTGTTTTGTTTATGTGTTTGTGCTGTTTTCTGTTTCAGTGCAAGTGGTGCAAGGTATACCAGGCGTGTATAGATTCAGAGGCCAAGATGTAGGTAAGGTTTCATTCAGGCAGTCAGGTAGCCGAGTGGTTAGAGCGTTCACTTGTCACACTGAAGGTCCGGGTTCGGTTCCCCACATGCTCATATTGCCTATATTTCCCTTGAACAATTTACCTCTATTACATCATGGGCATAAATTCCTGTTTGGGCTGTAATGACACTATAAATTCTTTAGATATTTCAACAGACGCCCTCTTCACTGCAAACATATCTAACAGTTTCTAGTGTACCCTGCCGTGATATTGTTGGAATATTGCTAAACACTGTATGAAACCAAATCACTCACTCACACATTTACCTATTTATCAATGGCACAACAACCATGACCAGAAATGAATTTTTGTAAACAGTAAAATGAACATGCCCTTAACCTCTGTGATAAGATTTACATCCATTTTTGCATACTGTAGGCTATCCTTGATACACTTCAAGCTCACATATAGTAGTGAGGTAAAATGGGATTGAACGTTGTGTCCAAGATTATGGCACCTATGTGTCAGTGTGCTTGCATGTATGTGCGCAATCACATTAAAATCAGATCTTAGTTCTCGCTACAGCTAAACAAAGATCTGAGGACATCCCATTACGGGTCACGTCAGACCGACCTTGCGCGAACTTTGACCGGCCAATGGAATGACCAATCAGAAAGCAGCTTTCTTGTGCTTTACGGCACTAATTTCAAATTGGTGCCTACGCCTTGATATATATTTTGACAAATTCGCGATTACAAATTTGAAACCTGAACAAAAGAACATTCTGAAATGGCTAATAGATGGTCTAGATTGTATGGATTCAGTTGTTAAACCCGTAACTATCGTTCGAAGTTAAAGTTTTCGAGGTTGCATGATTAGAAATCCCATTCCGTCTGTCACTTTCATAATCTGGTAAGCGATGCTCTGATTGGTCGGATGAAAGGTCGTCCTAATGTGACCCCTAATGGGATGTCCTCAGATCTTTGTTTAGCAGTACCGATAACTTAAGTCTGATTTTAATGAGATTGGTATGTGCGTGGCTGCTTGTACTAGACCTGGCTTCAGCCCTCTGAGTTGACAGTTTAACATGGATACCCCCATACAATAAACTAACCCTGCGCCGACCAGTCTTTGTTCTAACGTCTTAATACTAGGTGACAATAAGTACCACGTTTTTACAATTTTGGGTATGTCATGGCAGCAGATGGATATTTTTCATGTTTTAAACAGCAGTGAATACACTAACAAATCTTTAAATTACAAAAGAGTTTGATTTGGCCATTTTTCAGGTTTTGACCATCGTCCACAAAAACCGAAAGGCAAGAAGGAGGAACCCAGATACTGGAAGACCTACATGTAGTGGCGCCGTCGCGGCATGTGGCGGCAGAACACTCTGTCACCACCATAGCTGTGCCTGGTGAATGTCACCCTCTGGACTCCCTGGACTCTCACAGACTTCCTCAGCAGACTCCTCTCCCACAGACTCCCCTGGTGGACTTCTTCTCTCCCACAGACTCCCCAGATGGACACCCTCAATCCCACAAACTCCACAGGTGGACACCCTCTCTCCCACAGACTCCCCAGGTGGACACCCTCTCTCCCACACTCCCCAGGTGGACACCCTCTCTCCCACAGACTCCCCTGGCAGACTTCTTCTCTCCAACACTCCCCAGATGGACACCCTCAATCCCACAAACTCACTTCACTCTCAGACACCCCCATTTATTGTGCCACCATCATAGCTGTATCAGATACAAACCTGAACTTGGCATAAAATATACATCGTACAAAATGAAAACAAGATCTAACAGTTTTGAGGAAACGTACCTGAAAGTTTCCGAACATAAAGGGGACTATGTTGGGATCAATAGGCAGTCCATGCAGGTTTAGTTCACGTCGTTCAAACACAGCTTCCACAAATTAAACAATGTACATCAGTCTGGCAGTTACCCTATGTACACATAAAATGTTTCACACAAGCCACTAATCACAACGTCAGCCCTAGACTGGATGTAGGCACCAGAGTCCCACTTTGAACCTTACACTTTCATCTGCTTATAGTTTTACATACTCACCAACAAGAGGTACAGAGATGTGCCATCATACAGGGATTTTTATGTACAAATTAATTTGGAATTCCGATTCTGTTGTCAGGGACTGTGCTATGCTCACAGGGGTCCTGAAAATTTAAAATCCCAATCGGACATTTGCATTTAGGCCACGCCCCCTTTAAATAGCGTATCTTAATCTCTGCAAATAAAACAATGCCTTTGAGAGCAGGAAGTACATTTTAAATGGTAAAATCATCATGTCTAGTGATGTTTTATATCAAATTTCATACTTTTATTGACCAAGTTTGTTATGTCTGTTTATTCACCTGAAGTTGTTGAAGGGATACGATAAAACTCATCAATTATTTGGACCCTGAAGGTAGCATTGTTTGTTTTTAAAATGTCCGGACAGAAAAATTTATATGTCCGGTAAGCAGTATTTTAAATCGGACATTTGAGATTCCCAATCGGACATGTCCGGCGCATATGACCGTTTCCGGACCCCTGTATGCTCACAAGGAGCATGTTTTCATCAAGTTGATGTGAGCAACTAACACAGATTTTTTTTTAAAACCATTATTACATTGACAAGGAGTTGTTGAACAAAGAATTTTCTAATCTGACATTTTTTGTGTTAAAGCATTGGAACATAAATTCATACATATCAGAAATGTTTTATCCAAATATATATATATATATTTTAATTGTATGATTTATAATAAAGTTGTTTTTTTTATATTGTGTATAAATTATCTGTGTAAATGTTTAACCAGTGTTAACAGCATTCAAACCACCTCGTATTGTAAAGCACCTATGTCTTCAAGCAGGTCTGTATGGATCAGTAACAATGTATGTTGATAATACCAGACCAGTTCATGTTTTTCTTATTGAGACAATCTTATCTAAATTGTGCAAAAGTTAAAAAATAAATTAAAATCATGTTTATTGGAATATTTCTTTTGTATTTGTCTTCTTTAGAATTTAACCTAAAATCAACCATAACATCACATATATTTTTCTTAATTGCTTCATTGCACATTAATAGAATAGGAAAAACTAGAAAATTAATTGGTATGGCCTAATACATTCTCTGTATAGCTTGGCCTGCACTCCGGTTCAGTTCTCCACATGGGTACAATATGTGAAGCCCATTTCTAGCATCCCCCAATAAAGTTGGAATATTACTAATAGTGGTATAAAACTGTTCTCACACCTCACTCACACACTCACTCACTCACACACACACACACACACACACACACACACACACACACACACACAGGTTCAGTTCTCCACATGGGTACAATATGTGAAGCCCATTTCTAGCATCCCCCAATAAAGTTGGAATATTACTAATAGTGGTATAAAACTGTTCTCACCCCTCACTCACTCACTCACTCACACACACACACACACACACACACACACACACACACACTTGCCCTGCTCTCATGGACATAAGACAAAGATGGCTGTTTGAGGTATTTTATCTGTACAGCATTTGGATGTTCGAACATGGATACTTTTCAAAGAACTTCTTTAAGAGACTGACCATTTAATTACCTTGGCAGATGGCCTGGGATAAGAGATGGGATATTTTTTCAGTTACTGCTTTGAAAACACAATTTCTTCCTGTTAAAAGATCTGAACAATTTCCTTGTTTTTCCCCAACACATACTATTTCAGGACATCAAGTAAAAATGTTATTTTTGTGAAAAATGTGAGGACATTATTTTTTTTCTCATGTCTTTCTGGAACAAATAATATTTTCCCCAAAAGAGTCCCTTCTACCCCTCTGTCCTTGAACATCAATGGTCGGCCCCTAAGCACTGATACCCAGGGGTACTTCATTATATTCCGAACTACTCGGTATATGGAATGCCTGCTTCCAACCATGACAGTGATAGATACTCTTCATCTTTTTGTTGAAACTTGATGACATATGCTTTAAAAAGTAACTTGTGAGTGCTTGTAAATAATTGATAATACATACTTTGTTTTAAGAAGTTGTAAATATTGAAATAGTTATTTTTACTGATTTTCCAGAGATTTATCTGATTATTGTGAAGAGGTTTTTTGTTGATATTGAATAACTTAGGATGCACCAACTATTATTACCTTGGTGTGTGGCGTGATAGTAATGTCAATGTGTCTGCAAATACAGATATTGGGATATTCATGACACCAAGAATACATGTGACAGTTCACTGATATGTCAGGTGTTGTTCAACTCCACTGACGTCACCCCATTTGGAAAGTGTACACAGCTCAGAGAATAATTGACTTGTGTACTATTTATGTAAAACATTCTGGTCTTTGAAAGACATTTAGAAGTGATACACATAAGGAAGAGAATTTATGGATGTCAACTTCTTAAGTATGAGGAACACAATGTTTCGGAGTATATGCTTACTCCTTCATCAGGTAAACTGAATGAATGAATGAGTAAGCATATACTCCGAAACGTTGAGTGATGCAGCAATGATATAACTTGGTGTAAAACAACATTCACTCATTTATTGAAAATGATATGCTCCAAGAAGAGAGAGATTTTCAAGAAAATAGGACCTATTCTTACTGAACACTTTGAATTAAATGACAGATCTTTGTTACGAGATAATATATATAAGTACAGCTATTGTTACCATAAATATTTTATATTGCAAACAATATAAGCCGTATACACCAAATCTGCCGATACAGCAATTTCAGCTTCAGTTCTGACCTGTTTGTATGCCATGATTGTACAGCCTACAAGATATCCTTATGATGTAACATTTTGTATAGTTTGTGCTGTTATTTTGTTGTTGATGTTTATCTTGTTTTCTACACAATGTTATCCAAACTTACATCATTCCAGTACTGTATTTATCACACAGATATTTACTGCTAATGCAACAGTTCCATTGTTAAGCCACCTGTAGTTAACCTTGACCTTTAATTGGTACCATTAAATATGTATAGAGACATAGAAGGGTTCCAAGATTGGTGCCAATGTTGGACATAAATGTTGGACGTGTAGCTGGTATTATATTACCATATGCTAGATAAGTTTATTTTCTTTTTTACAAGCTTACCTGACGTTTTTGAAAAGTAAATTAAGGATAAATTAAGAAGAATTTTGGTTTGGTGTTAAGATTTTTTATTTAACGGGGTTTCTGTCAGAAAATTGTCCTCAAATTTGCCCCAATACTTTTTTATTTGACTTCCTGCATTTCACATATTGACAAATCTGTGGAACCAGATATTAGATTGTATTGGTCAGTTATGGTATTTATAAAGGCAAAACAAGATAATAATCAGTGAGTGCTGCATAGCACGATATATCTACTTACACTGGTCCATAATTTTGTGCAGGTGTGTCAAATTATAAAATGACCACCTGAACCTTTATTATTGGAGGCAGCAACACATACCGTCTTACCCAACTTATCAACTCATTAGACTGTATGCTATGTGGGGCCATGAATTAACCTCATCAAAAGCGATATGTCGAGTTAATGTACTTTTAGATCTTGAAGTTATTGAAAATTCATTGGCGCCATTCTGCAAAGCCATGTTACCGCCAGGACGATTGCAGCTCCCATATTTTAACAGACGTGCATCAATCATAGGGCTAAGATTGATCTGTTGAATTGGTCCCTGGGATGTTGATAAGTGAAATACCTCTAACTCAACATATTGTGTAATACAATATGACTTTTTTTATACTAACAGAACAATTATTATGTATTTACATTCAATGGTCCCCAGAGCTTTTATTCCATCAGGTTGCATGCACTTGGTTAATAAAGATCAGAAAAGGGATTCAGTTGTCTTTCATAGGAGTGTTACTCCTGTTAACTTAAATCTACTGGACATGCGAGCAGTGAGCATGGAAGAGTTTTTCTACAGCCATGGCTAAACCTTCAAATAGAAATTAAATCAAACCAAAAATAGTCTGTTGTATGCAAACTACTGATTGATCCTTTTGAACAGAGTTTTATGTACTACAAAATTATTGGAAGAACACCAGAGTTTTTCATAGGTCTATAGTTATGCCAATAGTATAGTTATATTACCGTATTTGACGTAATAAGCACCCAGGGCGCTCTCAGAAATAGGGGGTTCTTTTATTTTGGTGGAAAAAAACAGAGTTGAAAGATAAATTTTACGGTATATGACAGCCTGAAATGTTTATGTACGACAGATATATTTTTCCAGAATTTAATTGCCCATAATTAAGGGTGCATGTAATACACAAGTGCATATTATACACGAATAAATAGGTCTTGTGTACATTGATCAATCGGAAGGGTCACTAAATGGGATTGTTCACAAGCCATTATAGTAGCAAATACTGCCATGGGCACTTATTAGAGTGGGGCGCTTATTACGTCGAATACGGTATACTTAGTCACATGAAAACTATTGGGTGTTCTTCAACTTCTTTTGAGTAGTATATTACTTATGATTCTTACCTTGGGTCAGCTATGTTGGTGCCAATACATCTTGATTATGTTGACATTTGCACAGTAAACTGCAAGTTACTTCATTTTGGACAAACCTCATACAGTGTTCCCTCGCTATCAGTACAGTGCTAACTCGGTTATAGCACGCGGTAATGCATGGCTCCCAAACTTTACTTACATTTTTAATAAGCTCAAGTTTATTGACCAAGTTTATTATACCTGTTCATTCACCTGAATTCACTTAAGGGATACAGATTTATGGGTTTTTTTCGAATGCATAACACTCGATAAATCTTTTTTTACACATGAATCATAAACAACTACTATTCTAATCTAATTCTAGACTCTGAAACGTGCAGCGTAGATCGTGTTAGGTAGGCAGAGCATGTACTGTTTTGTTGGTCATCTATCCCCAACGACTCCACCTCCATTAAACTGCCTATCATCTATAACGCTCATCAAGTATTTGGACTCAAAAGGTAGTGTTGATCACTGTACTAAAAATGTAAATGCTAGAGAATGTGTGACAGTGCTTTGTCTGGATGTAAAGGTTGCAAGAAAAAAGGGTGAAGCAACGAGTCCTATTGTTCTTGCAACCCTTCACTGCCAAACACTGGAATCCATGAATAGCAATTTGTACTTGCACATAGGTGAACAGTCTGTGCAAACACCACACTATCCACAAAAGGCGTATGGTCCATGCACCTGTGTAAATCTTTAGGGACATGCAGCTGGTTCTGCTCGGATGGGTTTCAGTAAAGTATATAGTGTAGTTGTACAACACAGGGCCTAGACAACTAACACCCACTGGTCCAGGAGCCGTGCTCTCATGTACAATTCTGTAATTCACATATTCTATAGTATCACAAGCTTATGTTTATCTTGCTGCAGTATTGTAAAAGCAAAGCTGACGTGATGTGCGCAACAAAATATTACAACTGTTCAATTTGGGTTTAAACTCCCAACTCACTCGCTTATTCATATTAAGTGCTACTTATGAGATCAGGTCTATTTTTTTACCACCAGATAATAATGCTTTTATTCCTGTGCTACATCTATCGGATTTTAAAGATAACAGCATGTTAAGATAATATATATTGCGATACTGAATCTTGTGGTAGACTGCACCAATGCAAAACAGCACTACAAGATAGTGGTTGCAGTGTATTGTGCAAGTGGTATGTTCTACAATGTACTTTTGTCAACACGGAATATGTACTACAATTTCTTTAAGAATGATTAAGATGCACCAATAAACAGGCATTTGTAACAAATTTGTGTTCTTATCTGTTCAGATAATTATTAGATCCTTATCACTACATAATACCTGTATGGAGTTAGTCCATCTTTCAGACCAGTTTTCAAGATATATCGAGTCTCTTGGACAGAGTGATCTGATAAGGTTTTCTCTTATCATTACTTTGAAGCAGGTGTAAGCGTGGTCTATTTATCCAAGGCACCCAAAGTAACTTTGCAGGTTGCTTCCCTTAGTGATGCCAGTATCAGCTGGTCATGGTTCCTAATCTAAACTTTGCCCTGAATGTTACCCTTAGTTGGTCAGCCCCAATACTGTGCCCGATACATTTCTCCACAGGGGTTAACTTCTACGACCTGCATCCCTTTGGCTTTCCTTCCACAATAAGCTGACACTGTTCAATGCAGAGTAAAACCTGCCTGTTTCCTTTGGCTTAATTTATGCCCTTTGTTGCAACCTTATTCTGATTTAAGTCAAACGTACACAACAATCATTCGATGATTGGGACCATTACCAAACTGGAATCCCTGGACTCTGTCGTCTGTTTCAGCTATATAATGGCGGTCTGTAAATAATTGGGTCTGCATCAGGCAATCCTATGATGATACCATGAGCTACGATCCACACCTCAGGGGTATGTTGACACGCAATCAACAAGTCACCATGTCTGACCACCCATCTATTCCGTCACCTCTAAAGACCATCATAGGATGCTGGGAACCTATTCTAACCCGGAATCCCCATGAGGGTAGATATAACTGGCGGTCATTAGTATTGTGAAGATCATGTAACTGAGTCTAATGTGATGTTTTACATTTTTGTTTTTACTTTGAACCTGATGGGGTTTGGGAGGGATTCAACAGGCCTACAACATTAGCATCCAGTGACATACATCACAATAATATCCCAAGGTAACCTGAAACATTGCTGAAACATTCATATCCATAGTAAATCCTCGATCCATCTTGATGCCAAGGACAGAGTAAGCTGTGATAATGGTTGTGTAAGAAAAGACAAACTTTGATTAAACTGGGAAGTCTTTATTTCTCAAATATAATGATGATATTCCTGATCTACCACTCTCCAGCATACATGAAGCTCTCCACTGAAAGCCAATCGGGACTAGGATTCCAGGGTTACAACAGATCAACGAACAATCTTCATGGCAGCTTCCACAATAGATGACACTTGGGATGGAAAGAGCATCTATAACCAGTGCTTCAATTGGTTCAAGTTCATGTATACCCACCACAAAAATAATACCTAGCATTGCATTTATCCACAAGATAGATCTCTATAAGCATCTCATAGCATTGAACGAACAGTCGGATATGTAAGTTCAGGAAAAATGTGCTGGCTCTATACATTGGCTTTCTGTTCCAAAGGTAATCAGTGAAGCTGGAAATTAACATTTGCCCAAGACTTGAAAACTTGGTGTTACAAGTAACAAATAGGCCAGTCTACATTTTAGCGGAGAGGTAATTCTGGAAAGTGGATTATAGAGTCGAGGTCTACTCCAAAAATGATGCTATGACTACCTTCCCAAGTGGCAGCTAGGTGCTGCTGTGAGCGTGCTGGGATGTGGTGGAGAGACAGGCAGGCAGGCAGGCAGAGGTCATCTCAAGCTGCTGATCAAACACCCTGCTACACCGCATGTCAACATCTACAAACTTAACACAATGTTAATGAGAAACCTTAATGGTTACAATAAGAACAAGGGAATAATTGCAACATTTCGGTAGTTTTAGTTTGGTTTAAACACGGAATGCCACACATAATCAGTAGAGAACAGCATAGCATTTCTTAGGTTTCAAAATTAACAACCTGAGTGGTTACAGTGGTTAGAATGGTTTATCGGTCAGTTGGAAAGGTTTTGACATTCTATATAAACAAAGCAGATTTGGGTGTATCAACAGTTAAATAGACTAGACATATATACATGCTCATTTCTATGACGGTCAAAACAAAATCTGGATAAAACATCATCCTGGCAGATATGAACAAATCATCAGGGCTGTTTTCTACTGCCGGCAAATAACAGACCAGTAGCCTAAGTCAGTTCAATAAAACACTGAAGCATTATTTACAAACTTTACCTTAATACATCCCAACTCTTGCACCAAACCAATTGTAATGTTTCCATGGGCGAGTCTGATAAAATTTGGAATGCCCAACAGCAATAACAACCCTGAATGAGAGATTCAGTTGGCAAGCTCTTTGTGCTCAACACAATTAATGTCTTGGTTGTACAATATCACCAACAAAAAGGGATAACAAGTTCCTTGAGCAAATAAATGTTCCTGATATAGTCAATTCTGTATGCAATCACACTGCTGTTATTCAGGAAATAAAGAGTCTGTGGTGGACATATTTCACTACATGTAAAACATTTGGTAACACGTAACTTAAATATTACCACAGACTTGGAGTAAAGCTTTGGTACAATACGTAAAGCATCTTATTTGGCAGAAAACTTAACTGGAATAAACATAGCAACTGCTTATTTTAAATCAATAAATGTGTGATGAAATGGGACCAAAGGTCTGGGACAATTAAACGTGATGGTATATGTACAGAAACATTTGATTTCTACAAGACTTTGTTTTTCAGTCTGAAGTCCCTTTACCAGGATTTTCCAAATTATTTGAAAATCTCAGATGACTTGAGGCTTGGTTGCTTCAATCCTTACAATTACTTCTTTTAAGATCTCATACATCTTAGGACATACTTATTTTAATGTTATGAGATCCATTAAGAGAGATGTGACATAATATGGTGGAGCTATTCCTTATTTGTTCTGTCTTATATTTCTAAAGTGAACTGAACCTACAGATCTGTCAATGCTAGTGATATGTAATATAGATGTGTTCTACAAAGCTAACTTTCTCACAAAAACTTGATGTTTTCACGAACAAAACTCAATTCATACAAAATAATGACAGGTAGAAAGATGATAAAATATTACAAAGCACATAAGTTAAAAGTTAGCAATCTCACCATTACAATACTAACTCAACAAGTGTTATGCTTCAAACTGACAAATACACTGAAACTTAAAGTTCCATACTTAACGTCAATGTTAAAATACAAAATTGTGGTAAGGTCAGTTTCTTCAGGAGTAGATATGTATCACAAAGAGGTCTAGCTAGTTACAACTGGTGAATCTGGATGTAATGATACAAAATCATTAGACAGAGAAGGGTCACGCACATCTGTTCTATTTACAATGAACATGTGCAAACTTGACACTTGGGTAGCCAAAGGCAGGGAAACAGATGAAACAAACAATTATCTTATCAACACCAATTCCAAGCAATCATAAGAGGACACTGTTTCACGCTGACCACCGATGGTCGCAAGCACAGACCAAGAACACATTTACACTAGAATAGGAGCCAAACAGGTAGTACAAATATGAGGAAATATTTAACTGCTCAAAGGTCAGTGTACAGAACATGTCACTCGCCAGATATCAGCTGCTACTTATGTTCAGATCTAGATATAATGCCCAATGTTAATAAACATACGGGACCAAAAAAAAGGAACAGATCTTTGGCAGTCTAAAGTTGATAAACCTATGCTATGTCTTTTTTTTTAATGTTAAGCAGGTGTTTAGTCATGTTGTGACAACTGTATACGTCCAGTAAGAGAATCATTGCTTACTTAGGCAAATTATTATTTCAATAATGGTATTGCAATAGATTTAAAAAAAACTCGACTATCTGAACATCTATAAAACATGAATACTCTAATAAAACAGTTAGAAATATAAAAATAAGAGTATACACAACAGTGTCCTGAACATTTGTCTTAAAATTTGGAACAACTCAAATCACTGAACATTACAGTCAACGCATAGAGCGAAGTCCATCAAGCTGGCATCATGGTTCTCAGCACATGGCGGCTTTAGCAAGAGAAGCGGACAGGTCAGCGTAGATCCGAGATGTTTGTCTTTGAGCCAAACACAGTCACCAGCTGATCATCGTAGTTGTCAATGTTGCGTTTCATCACATCCATACATGGACCCAACAGGCGCTCAAAGGCTCCAACATCCAGCACTGAAATAAATGAAGTTTTATTTTATCTAATGAACATGGATCACTGAGCAACCACCACTTATCTACCAAGCACATCATGGACGACAAGATTTAAGAAAAACACATATTGAGTCAACTTACAATTCCAAAACTCTTAAACATGTTATATACTCAACAAATTAAGGTTTCCTGCAAATGACAAACTACAGTTTTTCATTCATGATTTGTTTGTTTGTTTGTTGTTTAATTAACGCCAGACTCAGAAATATTCCAGCTATATGACAGTGGTCTGTATATAATCGATTTCGGACCAGACAATCCAGTGATTGACATCATGAGCATCGATCCCTGCAATTAGCATACAATGACATGCATCAATCAAATCAGCAAGCCGGACCACCCAACCCTGTCAGTCACCACTTTAGACAAGCATAGTCGCCTTTTATGGCAAGCATGGGTCGCTGAAGACCTAATTTATCCTAGATCTTCACAGGTAGCTGCATGAAATGAAGAACATGGGCTAAAATTTGAAAATATGCAATGAAATGTTTTTCCTGCAGTTTAAAAAAAATAAAAAATGTTCTTGTTTACACAAGGAAAGGCAATAGATCAAGACAAATATATGGGTTTGTTGTCGTATGTTTCTATGAACAGGATGCTTACACATTGTATATATTTTCTTATTCCTAGTGTAATGCTATATCAAGATAAAGGCAAACAGAGTTACCTCCCTTCATCTACAATACTGCAAGCTAGCAATAGTTTCTCTTATGCAACATGACAGGTTACCAGTAATATTTGCATCACAACTTCAAGAACGTTCTTCCAGCAGTGCTCTGAACATAATTTCCTGATAACAATTTATTCTACACTACATCAGGACGACTGTACCAAAGACTAACCTGCACACTTGGTTTTACCCATAGAGTACGCTGACGCTGCTCGTGGCTTGTGTGTGACGAGGGCAAGCTCTGAAACATATAGTGTTAGGATACAGAATACATTTACAAAACAGTATACATTATCATGTTGTAGATGCATCTCTTAACAAGGGGTTCAAAACAAGTATACAGGTCTGTTGACTAACCTAACTTGACCCCTTGACTTGATACATGCTTAAATGCAAACTATGTCATTCAAACACTGTGTCTACTTGTTCTTTCAAACAAAATTCCTTTGACAGTCCTGTTTCTTATTTCACCTCAATGTGTATAAGTAGAAAGGTGAAAGGTAAAATAAGGTCTAACATCGAGTTCAAGATTATTGCACTTATATTACTATGCGCATGCACATGTTTTTTTTGTGTGAATGTATGTGTGTGTGGAGAGGGCGCTTGTACGAGTCCGGACTAATTTCAAAGCGCTAGCAAACTGAGATACCATGCTGCAGTTTAACATTGATACCCCACTCAGTATACTGACAGTGACATTGCACTGACCACTGTCCAGTCCTTGTTTTATCCTCTTAATGACAAGTGCCAGGTAGGGTAACAAGAAGTACCATCTTTTTACATCTTTCGCTATGATGCAGCTGAGGAACGAACCACCGACTTTCAACTCTCCAGGACAGACGCTCTTTCCACTAGGCCACAGAGGTGGTCGTGTATACGTAGAAGTAGTTGAGACAGGGGTTAACACTACTTGAACTGTATTTTAGTTATTGTCATTGTTTGTCAGCTTAATTTGGAGGTAAACCTGGAAGTGACACAGGTCAAAAACGTCATATTGTCACTGATGACATAATTCAACACCTTTGCATGTACCATATTCTGTCACTGTCATAACCTCACTTTCAATATTAAAATGAAATGTTTTTGCAACAGCCATATTGCTTAGCATATATCGTGACCAGCTCATACCTACGAACATTCATAAGTTCAATGCATTTATTTGTGGCTGGGATCAGAACTTGTGTTTGTGGACCCAGGTAAAAATAACTCACTGACTTGTGAAGAAATAATTTTATAATAATTGACCAACAATGATAAAATTTGACAATGATACATATAAAAATGGCTGTGTTATGGTAAAAAATATCAGTTTCAATATGTCCAATGTGGTGGCCATGTTTAAAATCATATAGGAATGCTGTGTGCAGTTACCTGAGTTACCATAGCTGGGATCATTCATACAAGGTTTCATCTCCACAAGTCTTTTAGTTTCAGAGATGTCGGAAATGTAGTGACACCAGAAAAACGACGGTACACGAATGCCAAAGGTGGTAGTTGGATTAAATATCAAAATATGCCTAAAAAGTAGGTTATATGTTATTCTGAAAACCACATACTTGCTGCCTATCAAATTCAGACTGATACAAATGGCTGAGTAATGGCCCAAAATGATATTTTCAACAAGGCTGCCATGGCGACCAAGTTTAAAATCTGATCTAAATTCTCTGACCACTGTTTAGAGACACCATAGCTGGGGCCATTCATACAAAGTTTCACCTCTACAAGACTTCTACTTGTAGTTCCAAAGGTGATTAAAAAAAGCAAAAGTTAATGATTGAACAAACAGACAAACACCACACTCAACTAAAGAGTAATAATTGCTTTAGTAATTACCTCCAAAGTAGTCTCCTTTTCGGCATCGGGTTAGCTCAATTTCTTTTCCATTTTCGTCACTCTATAAACAGATACTTACAAAATGATGGCATGACAAAGAAACTTCCTGATGAAACCTTCATACCTTTGGAAATTGAACACATAACACTGATCATATAATTAAAACATAAGATATTAAGTTACGTTTCCATGTAAACGAAATATTGAAGAGTAGTCATTCATTAAACATGTTTTCAAATTTGAATAAATGATTAAATTTTATCCTTACTGACAATTCAAAGGTAATCTTATGAATAGTTCATAAAACCAGAAAGTAACTACTTTATTAATACTGTATACTATACAGTGTATAGGCAGAAGCAAACCATTGCAGACGGTACTACAAATAGTTATTTAGGAATGCAGGTCGTCAATAACTACATAAAAGCATAATATGTACAGAGAATGAAATTATTGTGAAAAACAGCATGAAAACGTGCATAAAGCAAAACTTAGTTAGAAAGACACAAATCACACAAGTTGGGTGCATTCTTTACCACACAAACATTCCTGCTCATTCCAAAACCAATAACAGAAATAACAACTTAATCGAAATAGTGGTTGTGATGTGTGAAGGAAATGAAAATATTTAAACTACAGAAACATCCTTCCAGCATGGAGAGACAGGCACATCCTAATCAGTGTAATCTTAGCAAACATAGAGGGAGTATTAAATTTCAATCAAATTCAACTAAAGTATACAACTATATTACCAACTCATAGAAAAAGAGATAAATATTTTACTGATCTTAACTACATGAACTATGCTGAGATATTAAGAAAGACTAAGGTTTAATGGTAAGATGCTAAAAGACACAGCTGAAGAGCTACGGCGATAAGACTAAGGTTTAATGGTAAGATGCTAAAAGACACAGCTGAAGAGCTACGGTGATAAGACTCAAACGGGGGTTTAATAACAACACAGAGATCGACTGATGTTAATGTGGATTGTACCTCAAGGGGTGTGGCGATCTCAATGCTATCATCCTACATGAACAAAATGAGTTTAGTCTTTTAGTAAACATGTTAAACAATGTAAGTCAACATTCATAGATGCATGTATGTTATGTAATTACTGGGAAAGAAACATCATTAATATGGTTTGCACGCCATTTCAGTCTGTGCCAAAAACTTTTGAGTCTACTAGCCTAAATAATGCTCTTAGTATCCAGGTATCATTATCAGCTGAATATTCTTAAGGATTTGTATAACACACTTTCCAATTAATCACTCTTAGAACATGATGGATCTTATTATGACTCCAGTCACTGGATCAATGTGCACTCAATTTTCATTCTCAGCTCTCTTGGGAGTATACAACCCAAGCAGCCTGTGATGCGGTAACCAGTCACATTACCATCTTTTCCTACCAGGTACCCATCCAGGTACCAACAGATGCATATTTTGAACAGAGTCACTTGCCTGTGGAGACACTTCATGTGCTTACAGCTACATGTGCTTCAGTGTTGGGCAGGACTAAGCCCTAGAAACTCTAAGGAGTCAAGCTGCAGAACAGCGAAACCGACGCTGCTTAACTTCACCTTACTGTGAGATGTGTGCTGTACACAGGACCACGTGCAACCATATGGACTATTATTACCTGGGTTTACTAGACCAAACAGAATTTTACTAGACTCAGGCTTCAGACTAGTGGCTAAAGTCACAGACTGGTTTCATTGAACATATCAGATTAAAACAATCAAAATAAGTTGACAGCATGCCTGTACTGTATCAAAACATTATGATTACATATTCTACAAAAGTATCTACAAGCTAAAGGAAAACATGGCTATTTGGGAGATTCATCGGTATACATCACATCCTTAAACTCATTAAACATGAGAATAATCGGTTCACCACTCGAAACCACTCAATAAACATGATCACCATCTGAAGCATTTTCAAATAAGATGTCAAAGTTATAATTGTTATTATTTCAATAAATGAAAAAAGCTATGTATCTCACCTGGCTAATTGATATCTACTCAACTCACTACATTAACACTTTGACTCGAATATTGGAATGTTTTGGTAAAGCTTCGAACAAATTCAAATACTATTCATAGAAATTGCAGCCATTTGAAATTCTAACTATCAGGTAACAGTTGCTCTCAATTTAGATGTACCAATATTCACATCTACTAGGGATGAGTGTGTCAGAGGTTTACAATAAGTACAATATTTTGCAATGCACAAGGTCGTATTGTGACACATATCACAATATATTGTATAATTTTAAATATTGAATTAGCGCACTCCAGATAAACTGCAATATTTGGTGCAACAATTTTGCCATTCATTTGTTTTAGACCGTAGTGCTTCCACACTTCGGCTTTGCCTTTCACATTTTAATCAACTGACCACACCACCATCTTGGTGCCCCGGATGTTGATGACGTATGTGTTCGAATGCGCATGCACATAAGGGAGGTAACTGAGAATTAACCTCTATCTTTGGGAAGTTGCGTTTTTGAATCAAGTGCATAACATAAACACATGAAAAATATTGCTATCACCCAACAGCGTTAGAAATTGGCACTAGTCCTGTAGTCCTTGCCAAACTGTGTGTGTGTGTGTGTGTGTGTGTGTGTGTGTGTGTGTGTGTACATATATATATATACTACTAAAAAAAAGAAAACATAGACCCTATTTTCTCATCTGATTTGTCCTTGCTTAATGTTAACATGAATCATTTCTCATTTCCGAGTTTGAATCCATTGCCACGTTTACCAATCGCCAAAAGGCAACCACGTCTGTTTTATCAATAAGGGCATGAGGGACAATCGGTAAAGAATTTCATTCGTATTTTTTTGCAAGTGCACCATGTTCACCATTACCAATATTAAAGCTATGGGGTCTGCCTGCTTTAGTGACAGTTTAAAGATGTGAATTCTGATGTGAATTTATGGCTTGACATACGGAGACGCAGCAAAATAATGCAATTGGGCATTTAACAATCATGGCGTGTCACAATTGGCGGCTGTTTGGCACTTAAATGTGTCCCAGAGCACAACAGTGATTTCTACAACATGGAGCAACACATGATCGGCCTTGTTCTGGAAGACCACATGTCACCACACCCGCACAGGACAGATATTTACGGAACAGGTTTGTTACAGCAACTTCTACCACACCTGCAGTACCTTGACTCCAGAGAATCTCTGATAAAACCATCAGGAACCACCTGCGTGATGCTGGTATATGTTCAAGGAGACCAGCGCCAGGACCCATCCTTACAGAACGTCATCACCAATTAAGCAGACAGTGGTGTTTAAACCAACTCAACTGGCCATTACAGAGAAGGAGAACTGTCGTTTTCAGTGATGAATCACAGTTTCTGCTCAGACGTCCTGACGGAAGATCATGTGTTTACAGACACTGCCATGAATGGTATACTCCAAACAGCGAGCATGAAGTGGACAGATTTGGTAGTGGGAGTGTTATGGTATGGGCGGGCTTCTCGTACAGCAGGAGAACAGATCTCATCCAGGTTCAAGGCAATCTCGCAGCATGACATTACTGTGATGAAATCATCATACCTCACGTCACTCCATTCATGAACTGTCAAAACGTCATTTACCAACATAACAATGCTAGACCCCTTACCACAAGATTAACCACAGGTTTCCTGGCACAGAACAACATCCAGGTTCTTCTTTGGCCATCAAGATCACCAGATCTCAACCCGATTGAACACTAATGGGATAAACTGGATCAATGTGTGCAACGACGCCATCCCCAGATGCAGACCTTACCAGCTTTATTTTTGGCTTTGTTTGATGAATATCAGAACATTCCAAGACCTGTTATCCGGAATCTGATTCAGTCTATGGGAAGACGATGCCAGACAATCATTAATGCTAATGCTGGTCATAACCGTTACTGACATTCTTTGGCCTTGACCTTTCTTCTGTCTTCATGTGTCATTTGTTGTACACCGCCTCTTCCCTTTATGATCTCAACATGTGTAACAGTTGTCACACAAATGTAGTGGCAGTCTCAATTTTTACAAGAGAGGCCTGGATTTGTGTTCCCAAGGTTTCTTGAACAAATTATCACTGAACTACATTTGTTTATCTTCCCATCAACAGTGTCTTTTGAGAAGTTCAATATTTAGGCCTTTTAAAAAGTAAAGTTATTTAGAAAATCAAAAATGGCTTCCTTGAACTTGAACAATATGAAACCTTAAAACATGTTAGATCGTAATATGTTTTGGGGCCAGGTGAGCTAACAAGCTATTTCAAATCATCCTGTACATTTTAACATATTTTTCAATCATTGATCATGGGCACTTATTATCTATGATGTTTCGAGTTTGTCATTGTCTTATTGAGTGTCAATCACATGAGCATCACTAATTTGTCATGCAACTAATCATCTGAACCACACACACAAGATGCAAATTTTCTGAAATTCATTATGTCATTTCAAACGATCATTAAGAAGACAAACTAAACTGAGAGCCAACAATATTGTTTTGAATGTTTCTACCAAATGCCTCACCATATTACAAAAAAGTCCAGTTTGAACATTTGCATCATATGGATCTTTGTAAACCCATAGACACGGATACCCAAGTGAGTACACAACATCCTAGTTTTCTATTCCAACTACAACATGTCTACAGTGGGGAGTATATAACTAGTCTAGTTGGTACAATGTATGCATGATGTACTGGTTGGAACAGTGGTGGCAAAACAATACAAAGAAAAGTTGACAGGATTAGTGAACTTTTCAACACCACTAGAAATAACCACAATAATAACTACAAATTTCTGTAACTATCAGAAAAAAACTAAAAGAATTGTGTGCAAATGCGCAGCAAAACCAAAGTCTGTTTTCTAAAACATCTGATAAATGAAGGAACTGAAGCTGGTATGAACTATTTCGGAGTGAGATCTGGCTACGGAATCTGCTGAATAGGACAAAGCTAATGAAAAGGAGAGGTGGTGAAAGGGACAGGAAGTTCACCTTGTTCAGTGCTGCTATTCGGACTTCCCCCTCCTCGATGAAGTACATGCAGTCTGCATCATCTCCCTGAAACAAAAACGAGTTTGGTTTGATAACAGTAATCAAACTTAAAAAGTTAAAATATTCAAGATTCAGGGGATCTATTGACCAATTTTCATTTGATAGTTTTGATTTGATGGTGCTCACAACATTGCATAATAATGCACCAGTAAAACAAGAAAAACAGGTGCTAAAGTTATGGAAAAGGTTCAAGTTCCTGAAAAATTACCATATCTCACTCCCATTTCCACATGAAGTAATAACTGTTTTTTGTCTGAACATAAGAAAAATTTCTCTAATACTAATATCACAGTGAAGTAATACTGGCAGTATTTGACAGATGTATCGTGATATTTGAATGCATGAATAAAATCAGTATTGATTCCTCTTATTGAATACTAAATCATTCACTGTAAATATGCTGATCAACCATAGGAAATCATTTTTTACACAACAAATGGAAAATAATTTCATTCCTGCCCAACAGATCAACTAACAAATTATCTCCTAAATGCCATCTCAACCAAACTGAATATTTAGAAGTTAGAGCTCAGGCAATACTCAAAAAACACTCAATATCATACAAATTCATAAGTTATATTAACACCGCATCAAGCAAACTAAGTCAGCAAGCACACAGCTCCCTGCTAACGTCCTCACTATTCACACCACCAAAATGTCACGTTATGACTGCTTTGATCAATAAATCTGCAATCGAACAACAGCACAGCCTCATAAGAAGTGGCAAGTATTTGAAAGCAGGGTTTAGACAGCAGAGACATTGCCTCACATCCAATGGCTGCATGTGACATGACGCAGGTCGGGAAATCAATCTGTATGTTCTTACTGGGCCCCTACTCTCTAATCAAGATGAAGGAGCCCACACAACACACAGAGTTGTCAACTTGATCAATATGCAATGTAATGTTGTGCAATGCAACAGCTTCCCAAATACTGTGGCATTGACAGAATAGGGACATTTTTAGATATTCAAATTATATCTTTTTCTTATTCACTTTGAATATGAATTAACTCTGCATAAAAACATGACATCTGGAAGAAAACTCATTACTGTGGATGTTACAATTTAGAAACTTCACTTTCAATTGTAGATAATGACTTTGATTTTTATTGCAACTGCTGATGATTAATGAAATAGAAATGAACATTCACACATGTAAGTAATGATCTAAGTGTTAATCTATGCATAGATTTATCATGATAAAATTTCACTGGTATTTCAGGGCAATGTAGACATTTCTACAAGCAAACCAGGAGCAATGATCATATACAGTAAGTAACCATAGTAACCATAAAGTAGTAATTCTTGAACATGTTGAATGATTAACGGTCAGTCTGTCAAAGTGCCAGGAATTCTCCATGTCCTAAGCTCTCTGAAGGCATTAAATGGATAAGTCGGAGGTAGTCTGCAATTACAAAATAATCTGTATCCTTGACAACCAGAAGAATGTCAATGTTATATATACATCTCACTACTGCAACTTTTCCGTAGATGTATTGCAAAACCTGGCCCTAAGCAAATTGACATCAGGATATGATGAAATGTTGAACCGTCATATGACACACTGAGTAACAGCATCAAATGAGACATAACTGTATGGAATACTTGTAGTTCTTAAGCACTCTGTGAAAACAAAATCATATCTAGAAGTGAATAATGATATATTCAGTCATGATACCAGTACATTCTTACAGCACCAGGTTGTACCCCATTGTCTGTAGCAAGCTCAATAATTTGAACACCTACCTGTTTGATGATTAGGCTTCCGTTTTCGAAGGTTTTGGAATGAAGAGCATCAGCAACATTCATCCTCTCGTAGGACTGCAAATAAATATATTTTCTGACTTATTTATCAAGAAGTATTCCTGTTGCCTCTGACCGGGAATACAAGGTGATAAATCAACCCCTTTATTCGGCAATGATCCCACAAGAACATGATAAAAGAAATACATTTGTAAAATGAATACTTTTCAGTATCTGACATAACCACTGGTCCATTAATCCCAATCTAGTAAATCTTCTAAAGAATCAGTGGAATGAATGATTATTTCTCCAAATGAAAATCTTGTGCAAACTGACAATCAGCAACCTATACAACTCTGGTACATTATATATCTAATTTTCTTTACATTAATTATCATTGAAATCTACTGATCCTTTCACAGAATGTAAATATTGTTTTCATTTATTGGTTGAAACCAGTAGATATTTATTTCTGTTGGTCATAAGGACTACTAACAAACTCCAATAAGTGTCAAACAGTGTGTTTCCTAGTTGAGCAGTTGGAACAGCTGTAATCAAACATAAATTGTGATTGCAGACCAGTTATAATTTCTGTTAGCTCTCATTTACTTCCCTGTGTACTTTGATATATATGCTTTGATTGCTTTCAGACTGGTTGTGCAAATATGAGACAAAAGGCTACTGATAATGTTCAATCTGGCATCAAAAAGTAATTTGACTCGCGACAAAATATCACACTGAAAAAAAAACACTTTCATAATATGAAACCTGTCTACGTCCAACCAAAGTAGCATGTTAACTTCTGAAGTACATGTATATGTTACAGTCAATGTAAAAATTCAGTCAATGTGTAAAATGATTGAAATTTTCACTTAGGCAATTTACAAAATGCCTACATATTTCAGTAATTTTACAATTATTTTTCCATTTATGTTATTATGATAAAAAATTCCAAACATTTTGATATTGATCACCTAGTGATAGAATTAGAGGAAAACGAAAGTCAATGTTTATTTTGTTTATTCTGTGGCTTCATATACTAGCACAAGTAGTCTATTGTGATGAAATTCAGAATCAGAATCATAATAACATAAATCTAAGAATAATTGTAAAATTACTGAAATATGTAGGCGTTTTATAAATTGCCTATGTGAAACGTTCAGTCCTTTTACACACTGACTGTAACATAATGAACTGTACTGTGTCCATGTAAACAGTCAATGTGTAAAATGACTGAATGTTTTGTCAAGAAGACTATGTATGGTATGCATATAAAGTCTTCTTGACAAAACATTTTAGGATTGAACATTACAATAAACAGCACGATTAGAAAGTGAAAGGTTGAAAATGGAGCATGGGTACAAATTGAATTTGTTCAATAAACATGATAAACTTATCCAGCTGATGAAATTTTCTCTAATATCAATGTCTGCTCATGTAGATATCCTGGTGAGAATTCAAAGTCTGTCATAAAGAACTTCTACTTTAATGTTCACCAAATACGTAGGAACAACAGAGCAAGTTATTTATCAACTCAAAAAAACATGTACCATAACACAGGATATACCATGAGTGGGTGGGTGAGTTGGACGCAATGCCTCTTTGAACAGAACTTCAGATCATAGCTATGCATGGGTATTGTGCCAACAAACAAATCATAGTATCATAATCAAGTCAATTTTTGATTGGAACAAATAAATCCTGGCATGACTAAGGGACACAATTTAAACCACTGAGCCATTGGTGCACCAGAAAAACAATGACTTTGTGTTCTCATTGAAGGTAAAATTTCATGAATTCTTTGGGTTCACTAGCCTCATAATTCTACGAATACCAAAATATTATTTTGAGTCCAATTGTATTGATGAGGAGGATAAAAGGTCCCACCTACCTCTAGTGATTTGAGCAGTGGTACAGTCTCTAAAAGAGATTCATACATTTTCCTCTTGTTGTATGCATTTTTCAATACTATCCTTCGGAACGTTACCCGATCCTGTAATAGAGGGTAAATATTTCATCAGAAAAACAGTTCAGTATACAATACAGGTATAACAATGTTATCAAGCACACCAGGACCTGTTACTACAGGGGCACTTCACTACAAAATGCACAAATTACATCCCTGATTCTAGTAACATAATAAATACATACACAAATATCACATAATGGTGCATCAATACAGTCAAGTCTCATTAATCCGACACTCACTAATCTGACAATCGGCTTTATCCGACACTAATGATGAGAACCGATGAAATCAGTGCTATTTAGACCCATAAATCTGACAGTCTTGCACTCCGACACACCTAATTTGCAACGAATGATACAAGTTCTCGCTACCGCTGAGGATATCCTATTACAGGTCAAGCAGAACGACCTTTCACGATCTTTGACCGACCAATGAAATGACTGACAGGAAGTCGACATTAGCCACTACGAGAGCAGCTTTCTTAAGCACAAGTCAAGTTTCAAACTGCTGACTTCCAGACTTCAGTCATACAGTCCATAACAGTAGTTTTGTGTAAAGCTTTAGACGTTGCATGATTAGAAAACACATTCCGCTAACAATGTAACATGACAATATGAATATTTCTTTTTCCTTTTTTTTTTTCATTACAACGTGTTTGAATCGTTATCTATCATGTAGTTGTCCAATTTTCGATCACAAACGTTGATACTACTTAATTTTGTTTATCCGACATACTCGTTCATCTGACATAATCATATGCAACAATCCATGTCGGATAAACGGGACTTGACTGTACATGACAACTCATGTAAATATTTAGAACACTAACAACATACGTGTACCCTGAAGTACCACTACTTTCCACCCGTGAAGATCCAGGTTAGAACTGGTCTTCAGTAACCCATGCTTGCCGTAAAAGGAGACTATACTTGTTGCAAGAGGCGACTAACAGGAACGGGTGGTCAGGCTCACTGACTTGGTTGATGCATATCATTGAATCCCAACTGCGTAGATTGATTCTCATTATGTCAATCACTGGATTGTCTGGTCCATACTTGATTATTTACAGACCACCGCCATACAGTTCGAATACTGCTGAGTGTGGCGTTACAAAAACAAACAAACAACCACTTGTTTCATACTGAATCAAAGCATAACATATTTTCATATATTTTTATCATGGAGATGTCATATGACCTTTCCTATCTCAATCTAAGTAATGATTAATAATTTATTAATGACATTTTAGGAAAGAACAAGCCTGCTACAGAAGTGTATATCATATAGATCTTACCATTGCCCATAGTGTTCCTGGTGTTGTGGCAATGATTGTGGCTGCCCGTGGCATGTTGTACATGAGTGCAAGCTCTCCAAAGCTTCCCTTATTATCGTAAGCTCCTACTTTTTTTGGTTTACCATCTATTTCTACATAAATATCATACAATCCACTGCAAAAAAAGAAAAAAAGATCATTATTGCACAACATACTAGTGGTATAATCATGTTGATTATTGATGCAACAATCTATGGTATCACAATTATCCATGGCCCCATGACATTGAATATATTAATAGAAAGTTAAACATCCAACAAATAACATTGATGACACACTAAACTATTTTGAGAATTGAAAGACATAATACAGGGATTTATCTAGGCTCTAAAACTAACCATTTTTAAATCAAATTTGGAATTTGTAAGGTTTATCATCAGTTTCATATAGTCGTTCATTTAGATTTTCTTACAATGCATCCAATGTAGTATGGTCAAACCAGATCACATACACAAAGCTATAAAATATTAAGTTATCATTAATGATAACCTGAACTGAGATATCTTTCATGGAAATTTTTAGCAACATTTGATGCAGACATGGGACTGAAGGCTCTTTGAATGCCTAAATAAGTCCCTGTGTAACACATATTCAAATAATACGATACAAATAGCATCATCATTAACGTTTCCTGTTTTATTCAAACTACACCTTAATTGAAGAGATATGTGACATATGTGTGAATATTCATTCAGAAAAGCAGCGTTAAACCCAACTCAGACACTCATTCACTCAGAACATGCTTATAGCATGTATAGTTATATCAGAAGTACCTCCCTAACATCTGATGAGGCTGGGACAAAGAGGCGTATTAGGTGTTATCACCATATTGAATAATACAGGGGTCTACATTATGAAAGGTAAAGGCAGAGTTTCAGATCAATTCATTTTGTAGGACATCATCACAATGTTATAGAGATATTTTTCAAATTTGGTAATTAAACAAGAATGTCCCATCAAGAGTAGATAAAATCTGAAAGTGTCCCATTGCCATTTCAAATGATGGAAAGGTACTCTCTATACTATTGAAATAGTTATACCACCCACTATCGCACTAATATCACAAAGCTGCCCCCACACCGTCACCCCTACAAGACTTACACTGCCTGAAGTGACCCTACATCTCGACAATGTAAAAAACCTTTTCAGTTACTAAAGAAAACATTTTTCAACTTTTCGACTCAAAGTCTTATAAATTGTGAAGTGCCAAATGTCTCTTACAATAAAGTACTCTAAAGGCAAATAACACTATGGTATAGGGACTTAAAAGAGACATTACTACCATAATATATGACCCATGTGGCAACATAAACTATCATTATCATGATAATAAAATATGTATTATGTGTATTGCAAAACAAACATCCATTCATCAATCAAAAAGCCAACATGGTGTCAGCCATTGCATGAATCTGTGCAATGCCATTCTTCCTTTAACACAGACAGGCTCCATTTCTCAGCTTTTGAATATATTTCACTGCAAGAACAGTCTGTAATTTGGGCAAACTTCATTTCTTTACAAAGGTAATAACCATGATAACTTGCCACAATAAAATAAATGAATAAGCTGTCAGATGTAAGAATCAGATGTTTGCCTACAATAAGATTATGCTATGACTCAGAAATCTCCGGCTGCGAAAAAAAAAAAATCACTGATAACATGAGCCTCTGGTTGTCTGTTGAATAATAACAGGCTACAGTACAATGAAATGTTCTATGCAAAGGGCCCAATCATGCTCGGCTGACTCCACTGTGATGGGAAAATATGTAGATTGAAGGACACTTACATACCTAAACTGTTCAGTCAGACAGTCAGAACTATGACCATGATGACACATATTAATAATATGAACAAAGTCACAAAACAACGCCCAACAGAATAAATCCTACTGGGCAATACACATGTTATTCACATCTTTGCTCTGTTGTTGGTATTACCTGTCTATAACATAAAAATTGTCACCGTCATCATGCTGATCTATTACATGTTCGTCCGGGACCACCTGTAACATAAGAAAGAACAGTCACTTACAGACACATTATCACCAGAGACAGGGTCTGCACTATCCAGAGTCTGTCTACTGCTAAAAAGATCTCCTGAGAGCAAGTAAAATATCAGGCTTTTACTTTTAGCAGTGTTAAACATGTAAAAGGAGTTTCAGTTTGTGTGGTTATATGATAGTAAATGATTCAGGTTAATTTCTACCACTGCTGTCAACACAGCCAGCTGTGAATTAAGTTATTTTATTCCTGTAACAATTATCATCATGATCATAAGAAACTTTTACTTTAATCATGATAATGAACTAATGTTATTTTACTTTACTGAATATCCCTGTAATATCAAGTTGTTCAAACTACACATAGCATCAATCAGGCATTGATACTCAGAATTTATCATTGCAAACTTTTGATACATACTTTTATTAGTATGGTACTTTTCTTCAACTTGTTCAAAATACACATCTCATAATTCAGTGTTCCGATTTATCGGTCATTACCAGTTCTTGACCGGCAAAAATAGGCTTGGACCTGTAGTCATGTTGCTGCCAGTCCCTGTGGACCGGCAAATAAAGTACCTTATAAATCATTGATGTTGACAAAACATCGGCGATAATCGATAATCAGTAAAGTATATTTTTTTAATGAAGTCAGCTTGTCTGTTATCATTAGGGTTTCCCATTGTCTATTTTTTGTCCAAGGAAATAACATTTTGCTGTGCTTTGAGGTTAAGGATATATTTGTAGTGACTTTGTCTAGAACTAAACTTTAGTGAATGTGAAATATTTAAAAAAGAGAGAAAACTGTGATTGAACTTTGTGTGAATGACATGTCATCTAATTTACTTCAGAGATGACGTCATTGAATTTGACCGCAATGAACTTTCACTGCACTGAACATGATGTTGAAAGAATTAAAAGCAAGCAATTTTCATACTGTTTATTTGCTTGCTCAAAGTTGGGACTGACAATAATTGGGGGAGGGGGGGGGGGGGGGGTAATAGTATATTTTAGATTTGTTAGTCCACTGGAACTGGCAGTTTAAAAACCCAGCAGGAACACTTATAATACAATTATAATAAAAAATATTGTAATTACTAAGCTATTGTCATTTGCTGGCCTATATTCAGACTGTGCAGCCAACAAACTGAAGGCGAGAGTAAAGCTGTGTGAAATCGTGTTTGATTTTGTATTGGGGAACTTGCTATCGTGGGGACTTAAAGCAGGTTAAAATCCCAGCCCTGGATGTTCATCAAATTACAGACCATTATGTCAGAAAAACTGTCTGTCACTTCCTCGGCAAATAACACTAGCAATCAGATCAATGTTCACCTCTGTGCATGCGTCAAAGTAGGAAACAGACTCGACTCGCTCACCTTTTTTTCAAACATGGCATCTAATACTTCTTGCATTTGCTCCTGAAAAAGAATAATAGATATTGGAGTTGTTGTTGAGATCAGTGAAATTATTAGAGAATTATAATATGTGAGATGCGAAGGGAATGGTACAATTTGTACATGAATTTTTAATAAAATCCAGATGAAATGTAGGTATGTACTTGCAAAAACATTGCTAAATTTGGGTCAACATAATTAGAATAATTTTCACCTGAATAAAAGCGCAAAAATACAATGAATGCCCCAACATGCAGTGCATCATACATGTTATCTGTGTACATGCAATGACTAAGCTCTCACGTAATCATGGTAACATTACAATTCCTGATTGATATTAACGTACGCTTTACCTAGCTTCAATCATGTCAGTCATGACAATATAGAACTCTTTTCCCCATGTTCACAATGGTTATGAATATCTGTGACAAAACTTTGTGATGCTTTAACAATAACATAAAACATTTTATTGAATTATACATCTGTATCACAGCATGGCCAATGTAGGCAAATAATAACATAAACACAGATCTACTACTAACATTCTCATAGCTATGCTTTATTGTATGGAATTGAGAACCATTACAATTTACATCATTATGTTCATATCAGACTGATACAGCACCCTAACCCATCATCCAAACACCAAAACACATTCACAAGAGCATACACAGACATACAAGTTGATGGTGCAACATATTGCCGTCATGGCAAAATTATTCCACATGTTCATCTATCATCCAAATAATAGTTATTAAACCACATAGGTACAACATCACTTTTGAAAACATCTAAGCTTGATAGAACATATGGACAACATCTAGCTGTACTATATGTACTGTTGAAACAAATTGCATGTACTGAGAGAGAGTTTGGACATTCAAACATCACCACCACTTCACAAGCTTGCAGTAGGACTTTCAATAATCCAAGAACTCATAGTCAATCTGTTCTGTTCTCTGTCAAGGGTGTGGATCAGCAGCAGGCATGGACACCATGGTCATTTCTTTAAATATGAGTTTTCAAAACACACACATGCCCTGTATATTCTTCATCAGAAGTGCCCTTGTATCTGTTCTAGTTAGTTGTCACAGGCACAGTTAGTTGTTGGATATATTTTAGGTGCTCTGCATGTTGGAACACTTAACTATTAGCATGGGCAGTATTAAAAGCTATATCTATTCATAAGGTTGAACAAACTTTCTATATATTAAACATACTAAAAGTATCCAAAATTTAATTTATCATGGTTACTATTCATCAATGTTCGAAATTAAGGGGGGTCCTTGAGGTTTGAGGATAACATGGATACAGACACAGTGAAATTTGGAATTACCATAATGATATGTATCTGACAATGTTCTGCTCAATATAGCACGGCATCTACCAGAAAGGGTGCACCCACTGGAAAGCAGCACATTGTTTCTTGGGAGTAACTGGTGAAATCATTGTGGATGCCTCCTTCACATAGCTTCAGTACAACTATGCATTGAGATAAGTACATTGTATCGGTAGTTGCTGGTTTGACTCTATTTTCATTAGATTCTGTATGGTGTGACCACCATTATAATGTCTAGTGAGTTAACATTTAGGAGTTAGTTAATACAGCTGCTGGTTTAGTCAGTATGACATGCATATATTGACCCTTTATCACGTTTATGCTTATATTGTGTGTGGAAACTAGATCCTGAGAAACTAGGCAGCACATGTCCTGTAGCCATGGTAGCAATTTAACAAACGTTACTAATATCCTTCAGGTGACCCGATATGTCTTAACTTAAATAGTTTGCCTATATGCTCTAATTATTTGTGCATGTGTTACTTTTTATGATTCATTGTCCTGTAGATTGAGGTGAGAGGTCATATAGTTGATGTGCCAGCATGTTTGACATGTTTAGGTGGACTAGTCATAAATACACATTATCTCAGACTTGCAGTTTGAGCTAAACATCATGGATACATGCTTTGTTCATGGGTATTCAGAAACTTCTACAGAAGAAATTTCTCTCAAAATGTCTTATTCAATAACCACAGATTCTGTAATTGAGGTCTGTGATGTGGCCAAGTCTGGCGCAGGCTTAAAGTACCTGCAAGTGGTAACACAATGACTTAGCTGTGGTACAGATACGCAAGTCCACCACACTCTGCATTCCATTGACATGAAAATGACCAACAATCAGTTGAATTACTGTACCAAGAACATGCACAAGAAGAGAATGATGAAAGATAGAGAAGAATAACAAACGGTGCACACTGCACACTGGAACTCTTTCAGTGTACAACCATCATATTACACGTGTGAACTCTGTTCACAACAATACATGATATACAAATTATACATCTATTCACCTCTCGCCTTGGCTGATCCAAGAATGTACAAATAAAGAATTGAAAATATAAATTTCTGTTAAAAAAAACAATAATGCAGCTGTGATCTTGATGTCAAATCAATTATTAAAAAGACTGACAGATGGTCAATTATGATGGATTGACATTTTTGTATGATATTGATAACCAGCCTGGCAACAGTGATGAAACTAAAACAGCTGACCATGCTAAAATATGAAAACAATGTTATACATGTTTATGTAGAACTACAAGTTTCTGTAGTGAAAAACATTGATTTATGGAGAAAAATGTCAACGAAACACCCCAAAGTTGCTGCAGGAGCATGAATGATAAATACACAAAATAACAAGTCTAGTCGCAGGAACTTTTCATTGGCAGGGATAATTCAAGTTTGGACACTGCCAGGCCCTTGAGGGTGTAACTGACCAAAACCATAGGCCATTACCAGAAAAGAATGGCAACTGTTCTTCCTATATATGTATTATGTAGTTCCATGGAAGAAACCTACTGAAGAGGCCAATCCACCACTATGAACGGATTTAGAATATTTATTCAAATTTCATGATTATCCAACCTAGAATTATCCCTGGGTCATAAACTTGTATTTGAGAAAACAGTTACTTGACATAACCATGATAATCACTGATGATAAAGGATATCTTAAGTCTTATTTATAATTAGCATTTACGATTATTATATTCTCTATGATAAAATATAAGTAAGGCATTAGCACTAAACATGCTGAAACCTGAAAGATATATATTACGTAACATTAAAAATTAACTTCAAATAATGCCAGAAGCATGAGAAGACAAGTCCCGGCTAGTGTATGTGAAAAGATGGGACAACACTGACAAAGCTGGTCCATGTACATCATGTACATATGTAGGTTATTATTTTAGGCAAGCTAATGGACAGCTTTATGGAACCAGATGTCCAGGTGTTCTGAACCTGTTTGATGTCAATATTGTTATTAAACAAAACAATATTCAAAATAAAACAGTTTGAACAGCTGACAACTTGAAAATATTCTTGAATCAATACTGGTTCAGCAGTGTCTGCTTGAAATCCTTCCTTTTTCCTCATTGATCATGTGTATGACTCTGAATATCAGATTCATGAAACTACATTATCAGCGATTATATCAATGTAGTAACTGTCATTCCAGAATATCATTCACAGTACCCTATTGGCCCCTAACATCTTAAAACATGCATCTTTCTATGAAAAAAGGGGTCCTACACAAAAATAGCAAACAAAGTTTACTAGGTTGATGATTTCAAAAACTACTTGAAACTTCAGTCACCATGTTCGTTTTTTTTGTGTTTTATACACAATACCATGCAAATAAGGCCATGATAGGTTTGTTCCCATTTTGTTCAATAAACTTATCACTTCGTTTTGCAAACTAAATTATATTACTCTGCGCCCACGATCTCACTATCAGACACAACTGTGGGAAAAATTCTAATTGATTCCTTCATGACTATTAACATTGAGTTCACTGTGATCAGCCGTAATTGTATCTGCGTCATTTCTGATTTGTCATGTCATAAAGAATTGTAATAAAGTTTTCTTTGGTTTGACAGTCATCTTTACGTTTTTTCTCAATACTGTCCCAAGTGTTGGTATAATTTTTAGGCCAATCAATCAGCATGTAGCCAACAACGAATATATATCATATAAACAATATTAACCAATCACTAAGGTCTTTCAAATTAACCTCAGTAAGGTGACTCTGTGCAGCTCTACAAATTTAGCACAACATATATAATCACAAATTTCAAGATCAATTCCTTGGCTAGAAACTGAAACTTGGATCAAGTCCTTCCTTGTATATGATGTCACACTAGGAAATATATATTTTGGTATATCTAGTAAAGGTAAGCTCAACAAATACAAGTAATAACAGACCAGATGTTCAAAAAATCTAACGAAAGTTGTGCAAAAAACAAACTTTGACTAAAGTTTGATGAAAAATATTGCTATCATCAAGAACACGGCTAAACAATATTCTAAGCAGTCATAGCTGTGGAAACATGTACTTGTCTAAGTATCACTCAAAACAATAAGATGTTCTGTACCGGATAGTAAGTGATTCTCCAGAGCTACCCTACATTCAGACGGTATTTCAATTTGTGGCTATATGTGGTTACAACAGATCCATCTGAGAAACTTTGGGAACTGATTACCCTAAAGGTCTGTGTGCATTCATGATTTCAAACCACACTTCATTGTAACCTCAGACCACTTTTTCCTTCTCATTGAAAACAGTAAGCTTCATTGTCAAATAAACTGACACACAACATATCAATGTGCTCAATATCATCATGATCATATGGTCGCTATTTGATACTCCACCACATGTTGCAATATTGACAGTGCAGATCAATGCAGATACAATAATATTAGAGCCTACAGTCTGGTAATGATTTTCTCCCCAAAGGTTAGCTTTTAAATATCTTCCAAAGCTCTTGATAATGATTTTGAAAGTGCAGTACATATTAAGTGTTTTACATGTTTCAGAATGTATTTGACAAAGATGTGAAATTGCTTAGTTGCAAAAAATGCAAAAAACTTGCTTGATGGACAGAATTTGAATTCCGAAGTTAAACTGTGATAAGACAACCATAATAGGTTTGCAGAGTAGTCAGGATTATGTTTGGATTAACTGAAACAAACATTGGTCTGAATATCAATGACAAAGGTGAACATGATGAAGGCCAAAGAAACATTCAACTGTTCTAACTGGAAAAAGAAGGAAATACCCCCAAAACACAAATAATGAATGTTGTATTAATGTAATACAACAGTCAATCCTTGTTGGGTTTTTTATTTCCTTGTTTTTTTATTTCCAATTACTGTCTCATTACAGTCTCAATAAGGCAAAAGAAAAGTACTATGTTTCTGCCTTTTGGTTTGGCTTAAACTGATGCAACAACACTGATTTTCCTTTCACAATAGCCTCTTTTATTTTAGACAAGCTAATATCAATATTCTCATTCTAGAGGAAAACAAGTATTCTCCAGTATTACAAGGAGAGAGAGATGATGGAAACTAAGTCGTTTCTCTCTTTTTGCACATTAATGATGAACAATCTCTGCTCACTCAGAATGTTACAGTAAGCTGTTGTTGCAAATGGAAATCTGTCCATTTGTGAGTGATTATTGATTTATGCCGCATCAGCAGAGTTTGTAGCTATTTTTGGTGAAGTTCCTTGTAAAACATCTTCTCAAAAGCAGCCTGCACCCTTAATCCAACCAAGCCCCCTAGCTGGATAACAGCTCAAACCGGTATGCAAATCAGAAACATCTGTTTAAAATGCTAAGATGGTAGAACATCACAGAGGGAAAAGTGCCAAAATGTACAAAGGAACATAAGTGCTGTTAAGATTAATCTATCATTACATGACATCTATGATTTACTAGATGATATAATAAAGCATGGTACAGTGACTAAAGTAAGATTGCAGCACCCTGATGCATGAAATTAATAAAAATATCAACAAAAAATACATTATTTAATTAGTTTTCAAGATGCCTAGTTGACATGGTTGATTAAATTTAGGCTATCAAAATTATCAATACTGTAAATCAACAAAGACTCAGTTCTCAAGATTCTGTCATGTTCACAATATATAAGTATATAAATGTATAAAGTAATGATAGGTAGAACTTGTTAATTTTAATAGTGCAAACTGATTCTCAGGATTATATATCTATTCTACTAAGGTGTACATGGTGTATGCAAACAATGTATTACCTTGCAGTTTCAGTTTTGAATAAAATATTTTTCAGACGGATACAGAAAATAGCTGTTCTAATGGGATCGTGGACTCTGTTTATCAAAACTGTCATTGACAGGGACATGATCTAACATGTCTAAGGCAAAACCTTGCCTTCTGCAACAATGTAACATGAAAAGTATAAACAGTAATATTCAACATCATACAATTAAAAAACAGAGAATTTGCTAACCTACAATATCAGTATTCATCATTGTTTTAACATTGTTTAAAACACACATACCTCAGACAACTTTACAAGGTTTACATATAATAGGGTTGTGTATTACTTACTTGTTCTAATGATCTGAATAAAAGTATATGCTCTACTGCTTTGCTCAACCTCTGTCTCTGTTCATCTGATTTAGGATAAACAATCTGAAAAAAAGGACAAGACATGTACAATGAATGAAGAAGTGTCCTCATATTTTGTCTGTTTTACCCATGTTACCATGTCCATGAAGGCAAGATCTGATCAGCTAGAAAGTAGAATTCAATCAAAAGCATTAATGAATTCTACCAGGTCAATATCAAGATCTAAGGGGGTAATTATGCTGAACAAAATATTTGTCTGTACATTTCTCCAAGGCCCTGTTTCACAATGCAATCATAGCACTACGATAGTCAAAAGTCTATGTTAAAGTATGGCAGTTACGATCACATAAGCACTAAGATCACTTTGTGGAACAGACCCCTGGTGTGGAATAAGTCAATCATCATGATCATGAAAGAACCAGCATTGAAGCTAATTTGGGAAGCTTGTGAAAGAGACTACCGGGTAAGCCTCATTACAACAAGAGTTATGAGAAGATGACAAATCCCCCCCAGCTCCCACAATGCAAAAAAGATCCCAGGTAGAATAGGTCTTCAGCAACCCATACTTGCAGTAAAAGGCGACTATGCTTGTCGTAAGAGGAGACTGACGGGTTCGGTTGGTCAGGCTCGCTGAATTGGTTGATGCATATCATCGATGCTCATGATGTCAATCACTGGATTGTCTGGTCCAGACTTGAATTATTTATAGACCGCCATCATATAGCTGGAATATTGCTGAGTGCGGTGTTAAACAACAAACAAACAAACACAATGCAAAAGGCACCACTTCAGCCTTTGGTTTAAAGCATGTACCGAATGGAGGAATAAAAATTGTGAGGATTAGTAGTTTTAAGCTACTCTTTTGAAATTTGTGTCTACGTTATATATGAAAAACTTGACTTTAAGTCTAATAACTTTGTGAGGGGTTTCCAGTATGATTATCTTAATCGATACTCATATTCCAGTGTTAGAAATTGACACTAGTCCTATTGTCCTTGCCAAACTGTCCAATAGTTAAAGTATCATAAAGGACTAATAGAAATTGTGTTATCATTATAAGGACTAGTGGACTAAAAAGGTTAGTTTCTTTGTTCGTAATCATGATAATCTAATAGTCATAATAGATCGATAAATCAAGTCATACAAAAACATTGCAGATTTTGCAGGCTTGCTTGTTTTGGCAGCATTTATTCAAGGACAAGGCCAGCAAATTATGCCCTATGTACTGTAAAAGAGTTTACTCATGGCTTTCATGTCAGTGGAGTCTTTTGATACTCAACTTTGCTTCAGGAAGCATAACAGATCAAGTAATGGAACTTCCAGTGGGACAACGTTCTATACCACAATAAACAGAAATCTATACTGAATAAACAGATTGATAAGCGGCATGGTTAATCGCTTTAACCCTAGTTTGGTCACATTCAACACTGACAGGACTTTCTGCAGGCAATGGATATCTACCTGACCTCGGTGTGACACAAGGAAATTTAGTAATGTGTACTGGTCACTAGGCACCTGTCAATACACATTCCCTTATCAGTCTCTGCATTATAAAGTACCTACTACTTCAGAATTAGTAGCATTGATGGCCATAGTCCAGTAGTCACTTGGTGATCTGTACAACTTTGACCATGTTGACTGACATATGTTTGCAATGATCAAAATTAAGGGGACCTGGGTGAGGGCCTTAACTTAAGGCTTTCTACTGGAGACAACCTAAATCTTTATTTTTTTAAACATTTAGGTTATGACAAGGATCTCTTCACATTCTTGCCAAATTTCGAACACTGTATTAATCTACTAATGTTACCTTACTGATGTCTACCATGTCTACTATAGCACATACACTACCAGTACTACACTATAGTACTATGATTAATGTAACAGCTGATGTAATGAGCATAATACTATCAGAAATTAACAGCACCCACCCTCCCCTGTCTCTACTTCATAGAATATGTGTCAGTTTTCAGGGATAACTGCTGAAACAGAATCTAAAATGTGTGTCAAATACGGTACATGTGATTTAAGTTTCATCAGTAACATGCCTTAATTATGGACATAAAGTTGGTAAGATTGAAATTTCACAGGTTTGTTTACCTGTCTTGAACGAAGGCTACCAATATGGTAATTATACAACACATATGTCCCAATAAGCACCCAATCCTAGACAGTATTCCCCATTGGGCCACCGATGGGCCGACATGATTAAAAACAGGGGAGTAATTACATCAATTACTAGAGCTGGTTATGGCCCTGAATATTCATATAGATAATCAGCGATCTCCAATCTATAACTAATCGACCAAGTTTGCTTCCTAGTGAAAATATCAAACACATAATTCACTTGAACATGTTGAAGTGACGAATGAAGTCGTCAACAAGTCACTTTTTACAGCCAGTAAGAGACAGAATCCAGGACCAGGCTTACCATTTCATGAACATTTAGATTTACCTTGAATAAAACATGTAAAACATGTCATCCCAAATGGCCTTAAGATATTTTTCAAATTTTATAGATATATGTGGAAGAATGTCCTATCAAAAGTTGATAAAATCCTACAAATGTCTGAAATATTGCCATTTGTCTCCAGAAAAATCCCTGGTTGGTAACATAAAATGAAAAATAATAACATGCAATACATAAGATGATGACTGATGCAGCGATAGAAACTAACTGTTTTATAAAAGGGCTCAGTATGGCAAGGACTATAGGGCCAATGCTAATGCTAATGCAACGTATTATTGACGACAACTTTTACTCTGCTTGATAGGCTGGCTGAACACGAATTGTTTTTGAATTTGTGGGGCAGGCTTCACACAGCAAATTTATGGACCTGCTTTATCAATTAGATATATTGGCAATCAATAATAGTTTTCAATACCAAAAACATTCGCTAAACATTCACAGATTAATTGATCAATCACACCATCGCAGTGGTAGAAACTAACAGTTTTAGTCCACTAGTCCTTACCATGCTTACAGCAGTTAACACTAATATTTTTAATCCACTGCTAATAATGATAACATATAGCAAAACCCTTAAAAATGGCAAATGTTTACTAGTCCTTATGATACCTTAACTATTGGGCAGTTTGGCAAGGATTATAGGACAAGTGCCAATTTCTAACACTGCATGACTACCTTTTACAATTTAAAATTATTATAACATATAGCTGATCCAATTGCATAGGTAACAAACTGCCTGATTACAAGTAATGCATGATTTTATAAATGAATGTTGAAAATATAAATGGCCTGTTCTCATGACTTGTGTTCGTGTTCTTGGTTAAATACATTGTACACATGGTTAAGGGAGAGACTGATGTAATAACTATTTAACTATTTCAGACGCTTAGACTTTCCAAATTCCTGTCTAACCTTGAATATGAGGATTACTTTTTAATTCTATTAAATTTGATTTAATGTTAACAGCCCTAGAAATTGGCACTAGTCCTGTAGTCCTTGCCAAACTGACCAATAGTTAAGGTATCCTAAGGACCAGTAGAAATTTGCCATTTTGAAGGGTTTTGCTATATGTTATCATTGTAAGGACTAGTGGACTAAACATGTTAGTTTCTACCGCTGTGTTAATGTTATCAGTAAAGAAGATGGTTGACTTAAGAAATACTGATCTATCCTGACAACAATGATTATTATCCCATTATATGACTTTCCCTCAAATCTTTACTTAACGACTTTGCAACAACCGTCTGGTACTGAATAAATGACACAGGAAACATTGGAAATTGATGGCTGTCTGTATAGCCCTGACAGAAGGATGGAATATTTCCTGATTACAGCAACCGGGGAGAAAGTATTGGAGCAAGAATCATGATGACAAGGATCGAGTTGCTTTTAGTATTACTAAGATCAATTTTCAAAGTGGTAGGTAATGGAAGGAGTCTGGTTGAAGCAGACTTATTTTCAGCTGAATCTGTGAACTCTATCAAGTTCTCATCAAATCTTACTTTTTCTTCTGAGTTGTCGTCATCTGCTTCAGGATCGTAACCTTCTGCTGACACTGGAAAAAAAAGAAGAATTCAATTCAAACTATGACTCTTTCTGTCATGATAGTGTAGCATTTATGAGTGAGTGGGTGAGATGGGCTACACACCGCTTTGAACAGTATTTCAGTTCAGAGATAGACATGGTCTCTAGTCTGTGAGTCCAAGATTTGTGAAAATCCCAAGAGACTAGGGTAAGTAAATACATGTAGAAAATGTAGAAATTCTATAGGGACTAACTGGTCCAAGAGTGAAGATGAGCTGTGGACATTTTGGATGTGACCAATGATGTCTATCCCTGTCATATTAACATGATTCAGAAAAGAATCTATTTAGAAATTTGAAAATATACTAAACATCCTAAAGAAGGATGATAAACATATCATTTGGTATTATACATGTCACATTAATATATGGCAACCCATCAAAATCTTTTTGTTTCAACAGTATATAATAAACTAGCAGGGCTTAAGATGGCTGCACCATGTGCACAGGGACTATTTCTGTTCGAATGCAGGCATCATTTATATGAAGTCAACTGCAATGAACTAAAACTAATTGCTGTTGCGAACTTAGTTGACACATGTGGGGCAGCACATTGATGCAAATACAAATTAGACACAGCCTGAAACAGCATATTAAGCAGAATTATTTCATAACATCAACAGGATGGACCCTAGTAATGAATACGCAAAGAAATTCTTTTATCTGGAGCATTGGTTTTGGGTCATTGGTGGAATCCACACTTTTAGCACTGGCCTTGGCACTGGTTACTGGGGTCACATGGTGTGCCTCTCTCAAACTACTAACCTGATTTCCTCCTTTGGAACCGGGACATAGGAGGCGGTTCTGAAAAAATAATTATGACAGTGTTACAAAGATAAGCACAGATACAGTTTCCATCAGGAAACAGACCTTATCACAGTAACTATGGTTCTGTAACATACACTAAGCAGACCATGGCAAGTCCTGAACACTAAGAAGGGCGTTTCAATTACTTGACATGTTACTTGGTTATTGTTAAGTTAGTACAGACCATTGCAGACTGGGAAACTGCTAAGATCTGCTGTGACATCATCATGTTCATGATTGTGTGTTCATCCCAGTCCGAGCCCAAAACTTATCCTTCAACATGTTCAGCATGTTAAGTATCATTTTTCAACAAATTTTATTCTTTGACATTTGGGCGCCTAAATTAATTTGCAGCATTTACTGAAGGTTGTGCACTGACAAGGATCACATTCTTTCATGCCATATTTCCGACACTTTTAAAATATATGGGCTATTAAGTAGCACGAAAAAACGAATTTCACGACTGAACTACACCTTATGACGAGGGATGAAATTATATCATGTATATATCTTGTGCATAGTGAGGTTTTATGCGAGTATTATCATGATTATATGATAGTATTGATACACGATACATTTTATACTGTATTATGTTTTGACTAAACATGCTAAAGGGGGTAGCTTAGCCAATTAGCAACAGAACAAAAGATGACTAGTACAATATACACAGATTTATTTACATGAACTTCATACATATAGGTAGCTAACAAACATATAAAGGTGAAAAGCGAGCATGTTCCTAGAAACATGAGAAAGGTGAGAGCAAGTTTCTGGACCGATATTTATATTAACTTACATGTATGTATACACCATGTATACGGTATACCATGGATAAGGGTAAGTTGACCATTCACAACAAGGTTAGGCTGTGTGGACCAACCATATGAGGGATTAACATTAATACGAATATTATCATAAGGTTTTGAACTATTTGGAACCTTAAAATGTGTATCCTTTTGGGGCGGGCTATCGATACAGATCATAGAGATTGGTAATCGCTAACTAAATATCGATCAATTATCGATAAACAAGATAAATATAGGAGAAGTAGCTTTGAGCAAATACACAAAAAAAGTCCTAAAGAAATCACATTTATGTAGGGATTACTTTGTGGACATTCAAACTATAACAATAAATTTTACTTTCCATCTTTAGTAGTGGACATTATTGACAATAACAAGTCTGTTTTGGTAAATTTAAACTTTATTTCATCACAAAAGTTTTTGTAAGATATTATCGATGACACAATTTTTATATCGATAATCTTTAATATTCTTTCCCATTGACGATAATTCCGATTATCAGTATGTTTTGCCAACCCTAGTTTCCTTTGACACTAACTCGCTGGCAGGTGGCATCTACTGTTTTAGATGACTAGCACTAAGTAATTAGGTTGCTGTCTATCTAGACTTATCGAATACAGAAGTTATAAATAATAAGTGGTGCTGACAATGTTATTTTGGGGGAATGTTTTTATACTTGGATTATCATGATTATAGGGATTTTGGTTTGTTTACATTGATATTTAGACACCCCAAATAAGTCATATTACATGGCCTTTAGCATGTTTAGATTAAAGATTAAACATTGTTTCATAAGAGATAATTATTTAAATGTTTTGGTTCATGTGAGCATGTGTGAGAAGGTATTCATGTTTAAATATTTAGATGATTTAGAACAATCAACATGTAGAAATTTGCAATATTTTATTTTAATACTTTAAGTGTCTTTATGTATACATTATAAATTTATTTTATGATTACTACCATTAACCATGATTAAAGGTTTTCTAACAGTTATTATAGTTTTAAGTATATAGCATCATTACAAAACTTATGTTCATTATGCCACTAATGCCAACAATAGTATCGATACAAGACAATACCCTTGCTAAAATAAATTACTTCCTATATAAAATATACTACTCGTTCAATGATCCCCAAATCTTTTATGTCAGTAAAATATTGCAAAATGTGTTGTAATCAGCCTTTTAACAGCCTGTTTAAGTTCACTACTGAGAATAGCTGCTACAACATGTGCCAACAGCTGGCTTTTCCTATTGAACCTGCTCTGAAATGTACCGGTATATCATGTATATACTCATGAAGTTTCCACGTGAATTGATGTAAATATGCCTATCTCATTCTCAATACATATCGTATCATGTCAGAGAATGTATCGAGATATGTATCGTATCGTTATCTTCCCTACTTTTGACCAGATCTTGACTATACTAATGACCTATACATATGTTGCCAGCGTTAGAAATTGGCACTAGTCCTGTAGTCCTTGCCAAACTGCCCAATGGTAAAGGTATCATAAGGACTACTAGAAATTTTCCCTTTTAAGGGGGTTTGCTATATGTTATCATTATAAGGACTAGTGGACGAAAACTGTTAGTTTCTAACCCTGGAACTTGCAATTGTTTTATCAATAAGATTCTAAAATGGTATGGTCAATAGTGTACAGTACATAACAATCGATAGATTTAATACTTGTAATTAGTTATAAATAAAACATAAATTATGCAAATTTCAAACCTGTATGTGTGTTGGTTAGCAAGGATTATTACGACAACTTCAGATTAGAGTTCTTTCCCTTTGGTCTGAGTAGTGACTGGGAGGAAAATGGCCAACTTGGAGATTGTCAGCAATACTTTATTCATTTCTATTACAATGAATGATTAACATAATCATCAAGCAATACTATTGCAATAGTGTTGGCTACTACCGTAACCCCTACCTAATAGTATCTAATTTTTGTCATTCATGAGTTCTTGATCCTTTTTTAGTACAAAATAAATCATAAACATTAGCATGATAAGGACAAACAGAACAGCGACTTCAGACAAGTAGACCATTGCAGACATGTACATGATGTAGATTGTGACAGTTAGTTCTCAGAATGTAGAGATCTATTCAGATTGATGTGAACATGAATGTAAGTGTTACATATGAAACTAATGGATCAGGCATCAGAAACAATCATGGTCACATCAGGTCAGCCATATCATACATATTGCTATGAGCATGATCAGGGGTGGGTTAGAGACACTCTACAAGTGCAACTAAAGAATATTTATCTGTGTTTCACTGTACTCGATGCTTATACATAAAGATTATGAGCAGATTGTTCTAACAGTTGATTGGTGAATAAGGGTGGTAATTTGAAAATGTACAAGCACAGACTTCATGATCCATTCAGAAATCAATCATCAATGAAAATGATTTAAATGGAACAACATTGATCAACATTCGAAATTATATGAAAGTCAAGGCCTTATCATAAGTTACTCATAACCCTAACAATTTAAGAGGTCCCGAGATTATACATAGTCAAACATAGGATTTTATATTACCCAGTGTATGATTGTAGTGTAACACTCTAGATACCCAAGTTATAACCCAAGTTGTTTGAGTTGCTTGAATACAACCAAATATGATTGATAAAAACAAAAAACAACAGTATAATGACACTTCCCAACACGGCTTTTTCAGCTTGATCACCCGTATGTCGTTACAGATCTTTCTTTACTGTAGGCAACATGTATTTATAAACTCTACAGCAGGGAATAATGGAACAGATGTCTATATCTCGCTTTTTTGTAACTTAAGACTTGTATTGCTGTCGTGTGACAAACAATATGTGACAAACTTGGGACAGCACATGAACAGATTCAAATTTGAAGTCAACTGAAGGTGCATCTTAACTAGAATTATGTTTGTTTACCTCACAGGTACTAAATATACCAAATAGACTAGCACCAAGGGAGTAAAAAATTGCACCCCCCTCCCCACACACACACACACACACACCCAAAATAAATCAATACCCAAAGTGAATGATAAAATTCCACTTATTATACAATTACAATGTTGAAATATTAAGTTGATGGTTTGTAATTACTGGATTACATGCTATCAATATGAAAACAGTTTTTGCATGAACAAAGAGCCCTGGACGGAGCTGGATTAATTAATGGAATTGCAAAAATTACACGTTACAATAGTATTACGGTAACATCATGAACCAACGACTAAATGCATATTTTTATTCAAAAGGTTTCACTTGAAATGATAAGAATAGCAGTTTTAACAAATAATTAAAATATAAAAATACATTGCATATTTCAATTATCAATACGATGTCGTATTCCAACCCATATAGGGCCTCTTCGGTTCATAAACACATTGAACATGAACTGTCACATCACAAATAATTATATGCAAGCCACTATGAAACAATACTGTTTTATCCGTTGTCGCCGTTTAACTGGACCCTGATTAGTTTACGTAGTTCCTTTACAAGGTATAAAAAATAACATATAATACGACTCCATATCTTAAGCAGCCTCAAAAGAGCCCCATTTGTAAAATGACCTACCCATGGGTTCATCGTCTTCGTCCTCTTCATCGGTTTGCATGCGCTCGTCAGACTGGTTTGGCACTGGCGACTGAACAAACCGCACTCCACGCTTCTCATTTATTTTATCTACATTTTTGCAGTCATTCAATTTATTGAAGTAATCAGCGGCAAACTGCACAAGGTCTGCGGGGGATGGCTTTTCTCGCAGAACGGCCACAGTAAATTCCTGCAGTAAGTCTGTCAATCCAACGGGAATTTCGAAATTCATCATGAAGTCAGCACAATATATTCCAGCAGTATATAATCCGGAAAGAATGAAAAATCACAATATTCACCTATTCCACATTATCGGGACAGATGTTGGAAGATAACAGTAATTTCCATGCCATACTCTAAGCATAATCACACCAAGGTTACGCTAACTTTTTGACGTCAATAAACCACAATATATTCATACGCCGTTAAGGTGGGTGCATATGGACTCTTTGCACCTTCAGTAATAAATAAGCAGAATCTGCACTCGTTACGCAAACATTGCCGATCTAGAAAACACTTTCCATCCAAGAAAGATCACAGCGTAGCATTTTTCACCAGGGTGTTACTTCTTTCCGCGGAGGCAACATTTGGTTGTGTGCGCAAACAGGAAGTCATCCATACCACAAAGCAAGTCGAAATGTATTAGGTACGGTAGTGCTTTGCTCCACTGATGTGAATTGTCTTTTCTGTATATTTCCTTGTAAATCACGGATTCTAGATGTGAACAGAGTTATTCCGTAAATATTGGGTGAAAGAGATACTCCAATCTGACGGAAGCCGGTCCAACTGGCAGCTTATTGCCTATCGACAGTGATGTGTCGTCTGCTCGAGTTGTTGCGAGGCGACTGCTTAAGGAGGGCGAACACCCCTGGTGGAGAGGATTTAGCGTGGAGGATATTAAACCAAGTCAATCGGCTAAGCGCTTGGGATTGATATTCGTTGGATTTGGGGATATGATGTAATCGTGTAATACTGTGTATGGGTTACCTATTAATGAGGGTGGATGTATTCATATACTTGCTCCACTAGAAGTTTTTGAAAGGCATTTAGAAGTTGGAAGAGCATGAATTCATGACACTTTTAATGGACAGCAGCTTCTCTTATTCTTTGTAAGAACGTTTCAGAGCTACTTCTTGTCTCTTCACCATTCACCTGATAAAGGGACAAGAAGTAGATCTGAAATGTAACAAAGAATAAAAGTAGTTATCCATAAAAAGTGTCACGTATCCTGCGGCAGTAGGATCCATAGAATCTAGTTTTCATGAAAATATCGCTAAGCGAAAAAGCGGATTCACGATAATGTAACCCCAAAATTGACTTTTACACTTGGGAATGTTGATAATGTTAAGATGAAAAAAAATAAAATTTTGTTGTGATCAAAACGAGAATTTATTTACATGTAATCTGGTAGATTCAAAGGTGCCCAGCAACCTATAAGCTGCTTATAAGAGGCGACCAAATGGATCGGGTGGTCAGACTCAGTGACTTGGTTGATTGGGTGTCATTTTACCCCGACGGCTTGGAGCGTCGCTTAAACTATCGATCACGTGATTACCTTACTCGATTATTTTATAGACCGCCATCATATAGGCCTAGCTGGAATTTTGCTGAGTGCGCCGTTAAACAACAAACAAACCAAAAATATCATGCTGTTGAGTCTGCCCGATTGAGGTGAGTTTGGGTTTAATGTGGAACGCTGCATGGTCAATGATGTTTATTAATTTAGCGAAACAACTGGGGTGAATTTAATAACAAACCGGCGGATCCCGGTATAGCTAAGCGACGCAACTCAGCACAGGTGGATAAGCATATAATATAATACTTTAACATAACTGATATGGGGAGGTGCAGATTCTGATGAAATAGTTATATATTAACGTATACAGTATTATTTTCCCTCTCACAAGTCAGCGTTTGCTGGTGTCATTGGTGCAGCTTAGTTTTCAACGCTTTCAATATTATATAGTATACGTCACTAAAACAATTAGACATGCATATTTTTTATGGCTGGCAGCTTCATATATATATATGTATTCATATGTATATGCCAACTTACCCAATATATATTATCAATAAACGTTCTCCGTGTGGATTCAGGGTTATATAAACCCTGCTTGTTGTAAGAGGCGACCAACTGGATCGAATATATACTACTTAACTTTTTATAGGGATTATCAGACATGTCAGATACATTTAATTATACCGGTTTGACATATTATGAGAATCACTTTTGTGTGTGTAGCGTAAGATAAAACTATCCCAATCAAAAGTGGAGTAGTATATATACTACTCAAAATAAGTTAAGGACCACGTGATTCTTTCATATTACTGTAGTTAATCTGTCATGGCATAACATATTAACTAAAGTAATATTAAATCATCGGTTGGTCCTTAACTATTTTGAGTAGCATATGCACGTAGCAGGCTCGGTGACTTGCTTGATTCCATGTCGCCCACCTCGACAGCGTGGAACTGTGCCCCCACATGATGTCAATCACAGTCTTGTCTGGATAGTCCACACTCGATTATGTACAGAATACAGCCGCTGTGTGCGGGGTGAACAACAAAGAAACAAAACAAAAAACAATTAAGAAAGGTTGCGGCCTCTACTGTACTTGTTTGGGCGATCTCCCTGATAGAACCCTGCGCAGAATCCACTTAAAAGCATTACAACCACCGCGTCACGTGTGTTATTGCAGCTGTCCATGCATCAGTGGTGAACATGTTAATATATTGCATGACTGCCATACATATGAGTTACGCCTCCCAGATAATTCAAGCGATGCTGTCATTCGGCGATTCTTTTAAATTATTAATTCAATTAGAATATTATCCAATTGATTCTGCATGTATAAACTCCCTTTAGTTCTTCCTTAAATTGGCCGGTCGCTCGTCACGCAGAAGACCCGGGTTCGATTCCCAGTACAATGTGTACAGCCCATTTCCATACTCACTCACTCACTCTTCCTTACTATTATATTACATGCAGCAAAACCAAGGATCGGGTGGTCAGGCTCGCTGACTTGGTTGATGCATGTCATCGTTTCCCAATTGCGTTGATCGATGCTCATAATTGTAACCACTGGATTGTCTGGCTCAGTCTCGAATATTTACAGACTGCCGTCATAAAGCAGGATGCGGCGTTTATCAACAAACAAACAAATAAACATGCAGCAAAGCGACACTTAACCCTCATTACTATGTGCAGACAACAAAAATTACAATCTCGACATTCTCCTCAACATACACCGGTGCCTACTGTGTACATAAATAAACATGGTATAAGAAGAAATTTAAGATTGTTACATGCAGGAAAATATATCCTTAAATGTAGATATCCCGATATCCCGTGCATGGCTCTACGGATATGGCACACAGTCATGCTATAGACAAAGCTCCGTTAGGCACGAAACCAGAGACCTGCAACAGCATGTGTTGTTTTCGTACGTCACTATATTGAAAAGAGTGTATGCGTAATTGTATTTCAGATCATCGACCAGATTAAAGTCTTACACATATACAAAGGCCCATGAGAAGCTATGTGCCACTGTTGCTGATGCGTGGTCAGACAAGGCCAGCTATTCTTCAATTTGGGAGATTGGAATCGGATGTTAGACGCAGGCAGGCAGTCAAGTATACTATACCAATTCCATGACTATTGTCGATTGGCCCCGTTGCAAGTGCACGGCGCCGGTGTATTCTTCTACAGGGTTATCGGTAAATCGTTACCTAACAACACCCTTTACATGGGCATAGTTGATTAGCTACGCGTGGATTGACGTCAACCGCCCCTTGTGATCGACCAACCGCTGTGAAGTTGAATGCGCTGCATGACGCTGCTCCAAAAGGTCGTAAAGTTTTCAAAGGGGGAGTATTATGTTTGTTGTTTAACGCCGCACTCGACAATATTCCATATATGACGGCGGCCTGCAATAAATCGAGAGTGTACCAGACAAACCAGTGACTGATGTTATGAGCAACAATCCACACCATTGGGGTACGATGACAAGCTATCAACCAAGTTACCGAGCCTGACCATCCGATCCATTAAGTCTCCTCGTACTACAAGCACGGGTTGCAGGCAGTGTTTGCAATATGAAAAAACATGCCTGGCTGCCATCATGGCCCTGTTCTAGTGCCCACTGCAGGTTTAGACGTTTGTGCCTTGTGTTTAACATTGTCTGTGTGTAACTAGAGTTACCTCCCATTTTTGGGCATACGCAGTGAAAGTAGAGGTAGTGGGCCAAGTCGGTTGTGAATGACTTGACTCAGACTTGCCTATAGTTCCTCTCCAGTCATCGGGGGCACGGATGGCCCAGTCGTCTAAGGCGCCGCGATTCGCTGTGCAGAGTTGCGTCCCTTGAGCACGCCAGAAACCTACGATTGTTGGTTCGAATCCCGGTTCGCCCCAATTTTGTTTCTAGGTTTGTCAGCACCATACCCGTGCTCGTGGGTTTCACCGAAGTGGTAAACGTCTGAGACCTGCATCACTTCGGGATTTCCTCCCACATCAAGCTGACACGCCGTGATATAACTGGAATACTGTTAAAAGCGGCGTTAAACCCAACTCACTCACTCACTCTCCAGTCGTCAGGTTTCTCGCGCTCTCATGTTATGTGTACGTGCCCGGGTGGGTCAGAGTTGTCCTTATAGGATTATGGGCTTAAAGGGAGAGTCTTCGCGCAATTGGCAATCGTAGCAAGTTGGACTTGGGTCATTCAAATGACACTACTCGTCTGGCTACTGCTCAGCCTAAATGCTTGCCCTGATTTCACAGAGATGACCTATATTTACCCCACCACTGGTCCAGATCCATACTACAATGGACTCGAGACTATGAAACCTAGTTTCCCTATAATAGGAAGGTAACCTAATTTGGCTGGGACACAAGGGCTCTAATCGCCATACCTGAATAACCAAGACTGGAAGTGGTCATCAGACCATTGAACCGTGTGCCATACTACTTGTATATGTAAGTTAATGTTTGAGAGGACCATTGATTAATTAAATTTGTTCAGCGGTTTTGGTCTGAATATCTTGGCAGTCAAGTTTGAATGTATTCGAACCATGTATTCATTGAAAAAAACGTCAACGCCAGAGTATGACGGGTCTCCATTTAGAGTACTTTCTAAGGCAACATATCGGTGAAAATGATATCATATAATGAAAGAACAACCAACACCAAGAATAGTTCAGGAATTGTAAGTGTTTTAATTGCAAAATTCTTCTCCATCTCATACATCTCATACATCTATCCTGTTTATAGCCGGTGCATGTCACAATACGCTTGACAGCAGGTTAATTTTAAGTAGATTGTAGTTTTTTCAAGAGAATGCAAAATGTTTGTGAACAGATGCAAACGCTGTTCTCCTGTTCAATTTTTTTGTTTCTAGCTCTATGATACTGCCTTGTGTCAAGTGCAAATAGAAGTCTGGGGTCTCTGCTGACCACACCTTACTTATCTTCTGACAGCTATAATATAAAACAAGATCCTTCTACATGGGCACATTTTTGCATTCGAGCAGTTCGACCTTCGCGGAGGGGTCCATGGTGGTCCCTGTGCTGGTAGCATCGACTCATCTGACAGTACCGTTCCATGCTCATTGGTTTCATCGTCGGGGTAAAAGTCCAAGACCTGCGTCACTCGGGGTTTTACTATCACAGTCCGATCCGATATGACTGAAATACTACCGAAAGCGTCGTTAAACCCAATTCACTCCCTGAGAGCGTCGTTAAACCCAATTTACCCACTGAGTGCGTCAAACCAAATTCACTCACTGAGATCGTCGTTAAACACAATTCAATCACTGAGAGCGT